GACCCCTGACAGTGATAAAACTGACCAGGGTTCTAATAATAGCAGGATTGTGGTGATATTTAGCGCTGTGCTCCATGGAGGGAGGAGTAATGCTGTGGGAGGGAGGGTGGTGGCGTTGTCTTCTGTCTGTGTGTGGCCACCTTTTATTGACTGCACTCACCATACCAGCTTAGTGGTTCGCTATGGTGAACACAAATGTAGATACTTATATATAACGTGTGTACAGAGGGTATAAACAGCAAGAGTAGTAGGTTGGGAGCTGCCATTTTCGTGAGGGCGGTGGCGTCATCTGCACGATTTATCATGTTGTTTTCTGGTGACCAGGATGGTCTTTGGGCACCATACCAGTTTACTTGTACAAGTATGGTGAATAAAAAAGGTAGATATTTATACATAATGTGTGTATATAGCATAATAACACCACAAACAGTATTGTTGGAGGAGAAATATTAGTGCGTCTGGCCTTGAGGGCGGCAGTCAGCCGACTGTGTGAGGTCCTACGTCTTTGTGCCTTTACTCACCATACAAGCTTAGATGTACATTTATGGTGAACAAAACATGTAAATACTTATATATAACGTCTGTATATAAAAGCAAAAACAGTATGGTGGGTGGAGAATGGTGGCAAGTCAGGTGAGGTGAGGGAGGGAGTTGCAGCCAGTGGCGGGCTGCCACTGGCTGCCACTGGCACTGCCACTCAGCATACCAACTTAGCATTTCGTTATGGTGAACACGAATGTGATATATATAGCTTATATATCACATATATATAGCATCTGTATATAGTGAATAAAAGCAAAAACAGTATGGTGGGAGGAGAATGTGGGCGAGTTCTCAGGGAGCGAGTCTGGCTGGTACACACTCCTCGTTACTTTTTGACTCATAATAGCAGTGGTTCGTTATGGTGAACAAAACGTGCAGATACTTATATATAACCTTTGTATATAGTGTAATAACCGACAAAGTATTTGTTCACTGTTTGATGAACATAATTGAATCAACAATACGCACACCATATTTTTGAGTACAGCGATGATTCACTCATTTTATTATATAAATATATCACACTACACAATACTGAGTAATATTACAGCAATAAAAACTATGAAAATTTTTATCAGAGACATTGAAATAATTAGGTAATTATCTCTTTGTGGCAACTCCGGCCTGACAGCTGGCGAGCAACAGACCGCCTAGGACGCACGCTGAGTCAGCGCCTGTTTTTTGCCAGACTTCCCCGCCCTATAGCGGGCAATATATGCCACTTACGATTTTTTTATTATTTTTCCCACAATCAGTGAACACAAATTAACAGGTTAGGAAGAAAAAAAGATTTTTTTTGTATGCGCCTGTGGGTGTCAAATGGTATATAGCCATGCGCCATTTAAGGGTTAATGACACTGGGTGTGACCTGAAAAACATGAGCCTTGCATCAAGGAACAAAGGAAGAAGGATCAATCCACAAAGCATCCACCAAGGAAGAATCGGTGGCTGGAAGGTAATGGTTCAGAGCCCCTAGTAGGCACAGCACAAGATGCACCCCCGGCTAAACCGACCATCCATCAATAACCCAAAGACTCCTCCAGAAGGCTGCCAACTCATTCTTCTCCAGAAAAGAAGGAGGTGGCTGCAAATAAACATAACGCTCACCTGGGCCAAAAGATGAGCATGACGCTCCCTGACCCTACAACAAGAGGTGAGAGCTAATAGGAAAACTTCCTTAGAAAAAAAGAATGCTGGATCAGAGTGGGAACCGTAAGCCAAACATAAGAAAGAAATGAGAGAATACAGTCAAGAAACCAGGAGGGCTCAGTCAGTGCATGAGCAGGTCACAGGTGAAACAATGCAGGTGCAGGTCAGCAGGTCACAGGTGACGCCATTGGACAGCATCCAATGGCGATAAGGTAGTATTGACACAATGCAAGTTTTGCCAGTGCAAAATTATTTATTTATTTATTTATTTATTTATTTATTTATTTATTTATATACAAGAAGGTACATTGGGTTTATAAGAGTACATAGCATTGATGTTTTCACACTATTGTAAAGCTACTAAAATGCATAGCCTTGTGGGCAGGTTCTCAATCTAACAGATAATTTTAAGTAGGTAATTTGTAGCAAAATTTAAAATGTTAACAGGTACAGAAAATTTAAAGAAAATTAGTATGTACATTATAGTAAAATTTGAGGAGTTACAGTGATAAGAGGCAATAGTATTAGGCATAAGACGCCAGTCAAGAAATAACTAAGATAAAAATGAGAGCACAATACAATGACAGACGAATGACGAAGAAGGGGACAAAGTAGAGAAAAAGAGTGCCAAGCTACTTCAGAGTGTCACAAGAAAGATAAATACAAATAAAACACTATCAATTCAGCCACCTGCTCAATACAGATATGGTGATAAAGATGTATCACAAAGGCCAGACACAAAAATGCAAGATGAACTTCGGAAAGAGGCATAGCCATGGAAAAATCTTCAACTTCAGACACCCTGTAAGCAATACCAAGACCCATTATTGTCTTAACAAGACCATAAGAGCCAGTAGGAGCCAGGAGAACCAATGAGAGCAGGAACGAAGAAAAAACAATTCTTTTTTTCTACAAGGTGATTGGGATAGGCAAGCCAGTGAAATGGTACAAAAAGGCAAACCAACAAAATCACTAGAGAAAGAGAAAGTGAAGAACAAAGAGAGAGGGGGAACATGTTCCTAAAAATTTTATACACCAACATGGAGTGAGATCAAAGATACTGGAGTTAAGTGATGTAATACAGCTGCAGACACCAGACATTGTTGCACTCACAGAGACAAAACTTGAAGATGATTTTTTTATTGAGGTCATAGTGCTACTCAGTTTGGAGATGACAGAAAAATTAGGAAAGGCAGTGTCATTGCTGTGCTAGTCTCAAGATATTTGATGATCTATTTACATTGTTTGGGGAATCCATTCAGTAGTTTTAAAGCTTCAGTCTCTTTGAACACGGTAGTGGTCTGTGATAATTTCCTGGCTCTCTGGATACTTTCCCAGTAGTGTGGCAGAGGGATGCTCTCACCTGCTCTCTGCTCTTTTGTGAGAGGGATGGGAGCCAGGTTCTGTCTCTGGTCTTTTTGTTGACCAAACAAAACTCTACGGTTGATGCGATCTAGTAGTTGAGAGCCATCTCAATGGCTTCAGGGAGCAACAAGGGGCTCCACCCCCCAGAAAAAATTGCAAATACAGTAGCACCTCGACTTACGATTGCCCCGACTTATGATAATTTCGAGTTACGATGTAAATTTCATCGAAAAATGCGACTCGACATATGATGGTGTCGTCGACTAACGATATTTGTTGGTACACGTTCGGGTCGACTGAGCGCATGGTTTCCTGTCACTCGGCTGACCAGCCTCAGTTTATTACAGCTGCCCGCTTAGTGACGATCATGCCTATAAGAAATTCCGTTTTTTAGTGATTTTTTGTTTTTTGAACATAAAAGTAATTATTATATATCACGCCATGGGTCCCAAGAAAGTCAGTGGTAAGGTTCAACATATGAAAACCCATGTAAGGATGACCATAGAGCAAAAACAAGAGATCATTCATATATATGAAGATGGTGTGCGGGTTGATGAAATAGCTAGGCAGTACAACAAATCTCAGTCAACGATATCCACCATACTGGCTAAGAAAAAGGACATTGTGAGTGCTAAAGTGGCAAAAGGCATATCAATAATCACGAAACATAGAGCACAAACACTTGAGGATGTTGAACAGTTATTATTAATTTGGATACACAGCAAAGAGTTAGCGGGTGATAGAGTTTCAGAGGCCATCATTTGTGAAAAAGCAAGAAAATTGCATGAAGACCTTTTAAAGAATACCCCTGGAACGAGTGATGCAAATGCGAAAGAGTTTAAGGCAAGCAGGGGGATGGTTTGAGAAATTTAGAAAAAGAAGTGGCATTCATAGTGTTGTGAGTGTTGTGTGTTGCGAGCTGGTGGAGAAACACAGTGAAGAACTGACCACTGAAGAACTTCACAAGGAGCAGCAACAAGAGACAGCTGAGGAAATTTCTTCAAGGGAGGAGGAGACAGTACAGAATGTCCCTTCCTCATTAATTAAGAAAATGTGTGCAGCATGGGAAGAATTGCAAACTTTTGCTGAAACGACTCACTAAAATCACGGTGCAGTAGACCATTGCCTTAACCTTTTTAATGACACTGATGCCTCACTACAGACAAAAATTAAAACATGGAAAAACAAAAATCTCTAGAAAGGTTTTTATTGAGACAAACAAGCAGTGAATCACAACCAGGTCCTAGTGGTATGCAGGCAAAACATAAGAGAGAGTGTACCCCAGAGAAGTCATCACTGCCTGATGTTATAATGGAAGGGGACTCCCTTCCAAACAGTAACACCTCTCCTCCTCCCCCCTCATCACCATCTTCCATACGCCATCAAGAGCCCTCCATAAAGGTAAGATAAACTTATGTCCTGTATTGTAGTTAGAGAACAAAATTGTATTCAGTATAAAATGTATTTGTAAGTTAATATTTTGGAGGGTGGGGAACGGATTACCATCGTAAGTCGAGGCCCCACTGTATCAATGTATTAACAACAAAAATTACGACGAAGAAAATAGAGCACTTCTGGGGTAGAAGGAGAAGAGAACAATGTTCTAGCCTACTCAGACACTCATCAGTGCATGTTACTGGTGATTCCACAAGCAACCAAAGAAAACTGGCATGCAACCTACACACCATCTGCCTAATATCTCTATTCTCTCTCTAATACACTATCTCCAACAAAATGTATTTGTACTAAGCAAGTCCAGTGTCTCCATGACCATGAAAAACCAAACAGTATAGAAAATTTTGCACACAAAAGTATGTTAGATTTAAAATCAAGTCTTTTGCCACTTTACCAAACTACAACTTGATCCATTTGCTGCCGGTCTTATTAATTTTGTATAAGTATTTTTTAGGATTTTTTTCTTATAAATATACTTAATACAGTACCTTTTTACATGTTGCAGTAATATTATCTCTTCTTCTTGGCAGAGCTAAAATTTTGAGTGGTTCTACAACAGCCTCTTGACGTAAAGTTGATATACCTCTTCTGCAAATATACGTAATACTATCTAAGTTCCTTCAAATATAAATATTCAACTCTATAGCATTATCATGTTAATATTCAATAGTAATAATAATAATAATAATTAAACAGGAACCAATGGAAAAGGTAAAGAAGAATTTAGAAATTAAACTACTAGGAACTAGACTCTAAGTTAATATAGAACAAGGAAAAGAAGAAAATAGCATTAAATAGATAAACACAGATCTGACTGCAATTAGTATAGCATAAAGACATAACAATGACCAAAAGGAATGAGGCCAGGACAGAACTCTAAATGAGACCATGACTCTCATTAACTCCCAGTGCCTTTAACTAGTATGAGCAGAATGTGGAAAGAGGCCTTACCAAGTTTCAAGCACCAGATATAGAGGCCGTAGCCGAGGTGAAGAGGCTCCACCAGAGCAGTACAGTGGGAAGTAATAGTGACAAGTTCAAATAGTTCAAAAGTCAAGAGGGAAAGGAGCGCAATATACCAACCATTTGAATCCTTATTTCGCCGCTTCATGTGTTTGCTCGGGTGTTTCAAACGATATTTTAAATGTAGGTAGTCGACTGTCGGTGTTTCAATCAAGTGTGCCGATGTGGCATTCAGAGAGGGGGTTTTCCACAGTTATCTGGCAAACAATAACGTCTTCAGCACTTTCCGCTATCTAGTGGTTCAGCCTACTAACAAAAATCCTTCTGTTGGCTGTGTATTGTCTCAGTGTGATAGAGGTCACAAGTTCACCTCTTGAAGTGTGACCTGGTATGTTGGGTCCAAGATTTTGTGTAAATCTTCTTTGTTTGCAACTTTCACTGTCACATTTTTGTTAATGAAGACATCGACAGGTCCTACTGTTGTCGCTCTGTTTATGGCAGCAGCTATTTCCTGCTTTGTGCATTTCTGGACTCGAAAGAGTGACTTTTATTTTTATCTTAAAAGTCATGATACTGCCGATTCCAGCCTTAGCCTCACTGCCCATACAGTACTGTTCTGGTAACGCCTCAATGGCTCAGACTGTCAAGTGGGAGCACTGTGCGTACAGTGTACTTACCTAGTTGTGCTTGCGGAGGTTGAGCTCTGGCTCTTTGTTCCCGCCTCTCAACGGTCAATCAACTAATGTACAGGATCCTGAGCCTACTGGGCTCTACCATATCTACACTTGAAGGTGTGTATGGAGTCAGCCTCCACCACATCACTTCCTAATGCATTCCATTTGTCTACTACTCTGACACTGAAAAAATTCTTTCTAACATCTCTATGGCTCATTTGGGTACTCAGTTTTCACCTGTGTCCCCCTAGTGCGTGTGCCCCTTGTGTTAAAAGTCTGTCCTTATCTACCCTATCAATTCCTCTGAGAATCTTGTATGTGGTGATCATGTCCCCTCTAACTCTTCTGTCTCCCAATGACGTGAGGTTTAATTCCGTAGTCTCTCCTCGTTGCTCATACCCCTCAGTTCGGGTACTAGTCTGGTAGCAAACCTTTGAACCTTTTCCAGTTTAGTCTTATGCTTGACTAGATATGGACTCCATGCTGGAGCCGCATACTCCAGGATTGGAATGACATATGTGGTATATAATGTTCTGAAAGATTCCTTGCACAGTTTCTAAAGGCCGTTCTTATGTTAGCCAACCTGGCATATGCCGCTGATGTTAACCTCTTGATATGAGCTTCAGGGGACAGGTCTGGCAAGATATCGACCCCCAGGTCTTTCTCTCTCTCTGACTCTTGAAGTATTTCATTTCCCAAATGATACCTTGTATCTGGTCCTGTGTGTGTAGTGTGTGTGATCCTGCTGGAGTCAGGGCAATTGTGCCGAGAGGGAGAAATGAAGAGGGTCACAGACCACATGCAAGAGAGTGAAATATACAATGGTGAAACTGACTCGACTCCTAACAGTGTGCCAGAGGAAGAATGGCTTGCCAACAGGATCATTAAAAATAAGAAGCATAAAATATTTATAAATGATGATTTGCTAACCTATAACCATTAAAAAGTACACTAGAATAGTAGTTGTAATGCTGTTGAGAGGTTGTGCAAGGGAATTAATATATAGGACAAAATTGCATAAGACAAGATAACTAGATGAAAGGAATGGAGAGGATCATGAACATATTGATATTGATTAAGAGTAATTACATAAAAAACCAGCGTTGAATGTAATGAAACGCCATTTTCTGGGTGAGTCCCGGAGGCTCCCCGGAGCTGATATGGATACCCTAACTATTTTGCTTCAGTCGATGTGGGTGGAGTTCTAGGCCTACCGGGGACCACGAGCCAGAACCTGGCCCCCTCAGAGAGGCACGGGGAGCAATGGCCCATAGAAACGCACATGTGATTTGGAGCATTCTATATCTGCCATCGACCGGGACAGGCACCCAGAAAGGTAAGCGCCACAAAACAAACCCCTATTCTGGTTAACAACAAAAATCGACAAACAAGTGGACAGAACTCCCCCAGGAAAACGAACTAACAAGCATGACGTCACACGAGCCGCACTGCATGTCTGCGCAGCTCCCCCCTCCTCGGGAGGGGGAAGGGGAAACCCCAGATCCCCGCGCCGGCGATCCCCGCCCCACTTCTGAGGCTGGATATCAAAACCACGAAAAAAACGCCGACCGGAGGGCGGGAGGGTGCTGGGGAGCCTCCGGGACTCAGCCAGAAAATGGCGTTTCTTTACATTCAAAGCTGGTTTCTGGGGGAAGCCCCTACGGCTCCCCGGAGATACTTCACCAAAGACTACCTAAGAAAACAAGGGGACATACCCGGGAGGCGGTCGGTGAACCACTCCTCAACACGAAGTTGAGACAACAACCCAAGGACCCCTCCGGAAAGCAGCAGGCACATCATTCGCCAGAAAAAGGGAGAACGGCCACAGACAAAGAAACCTATGACCACGACCATAGGAGCCAAAAACCACTGCACCTGAGAAGAGCATGAAGCTCTGCCACACAACCCCCAGAGGCCAATGCCAACATAAAAAGAGCCGAGGCAAAGCAACCCTGACCCCAAGGAGCCACAACCACCAAGGAGAAGAAAAACAGGAGAGCACCCTGTCCAAAGACCAGGACGGCAGAGGCAGTGCATAAGCAGGCCGGAGGTGAAACAACGCACGAGACAGCCTGCGAAACGGCGCAGAAAGAACATCGATACCGAAAGCTAGCAGCAGAAACCAAGGTGCCAGACCCAGGAACGGCCTCAAGCGCCTCTACATCCTCCACAAGCCAATCCTATGACAGCCCCAGGAGGGAAAAGAAAACGCAGGACCAAAACCAAAATGCCACAAGCGCGCAAGTCCACCGCCACAAGTGCAGTCGACAGGGAAGGAACCCGCATAAGGAGCCGCCCTGCACCAACATCCCGCAGAAGGGCAGGAGCGAAAAGACTCATTAAGAGGAGCAAAATCGCCCCCAGGAAAACGAATAGCGCTGAGACAGCGCGAAGAGAAGAGATATGCACAAAAGAACAAGAAGGCCAAACACCCAGAAGCTGCCGGGAATAGGACCCATAAGCTCTAGAAAGGACCGGAGGGAAGCTCAACCGAATGACGACAGACGTACCAGAAAACGGGAAGGAACAAAACCGTCCCGAACCTTCAAGAACAAAAAGAAGCAAACACAAAGGACGAAGGCACAAAAACCCCCATCGCACCCGAGACCAAAAGTCATGCAGACACCCCAAGAAGAGGGGGACATGACGGAGAATGCCCGTCCTGGAAAAAAGGGGCGAAGACCGTAGAAAAGCACCCACCGACAGGACGGAAACAACGGGCACAATGGACAAGGAAACCGAGCCCAGGGAGGGGCCGACGCCCACAAAGCACGTGCGGAGAGGGGGAACGGAAAAACCCCACACCACAAAACCGCAAGCACCGCCCAGAGGGGTAGAAATACCCCTCAAGCCAGCGAAGGTTTGATCTACTCTTCCGCTCTTTGTGTCTGGTATTTCTGACGCACATGTGTGTATCACCACTTGAATGGTGATCAGGTCGCAACTCTCATGGCCATCTGATGGACAGCTGCAAACGAACAAAACGTCCACAAGGACCGAAAGAGCAGAAACCCCTGTGCCGGAGGCGAGCATGAAACTCACCGACCTGACCCCCAGAGGTCAAAGCCAACACATACAAAGCCTTTTGTAAACAATCTTGGATTGAAGGGGCCACAACAAACCGAGGAAGAGAGACAAAAGAGAGCACCTGATCCAAATACCAGAATGCCTCAGGCAGCCAATGAGCAGGCCGAAAGTGGAAAAATTCATGAGAAAGTTTACAGAATGGAGCCGAAGTGACAACCACCCTCGAACACAAGATGGAGAACCACATGATAAGAGGCAACAGTATTCAGCATAAGATGTTGGTCCTGAAAGAGCCAAGACAGGAAAGAAAAACAACACGCTCAGAAACAGAAGTCAGCCTACAAAGAGAAAGGAAGTGGTGAAAAGAACATCAACTGTCGCCGAGAAGATGACCGCAGGTGGGACACCATAAGAGAAGCCACCTGATCACCATTCAAGTGGTGATAACCCACAGCAGAAATACCAGATACAAAGAGCGGAAGAGTACATCAAACCAACAAGGTACCTCACCAGCTCGATCTGCTGAAAGAGGCAGAGCCACAGAAAACGCCCCAGGTTTGGACACCGAGCAAACAGCAACTGAAACCAAAGCTGGGCAGCCCACCATGGGGCCAGAAGGAGAACCCTCCCCCAATAGGACTCCAGACAAGCCAGAACCCAAAGAAATAGCTAGACTGCGGGGAAAAGGTAAAGGTACAGGTAACCTCACCTCGACCAGTCCTGCCAAAAAACATCTACTGCGATAGCTTCGCACTCAGGGGAAGGGCCCCACATATATTGGGAGATGCCTCAACTATGCTGAAGCGAAGAAGTCTACCTCTGAGGGCCTGAACGTTTGGCAAAACCAATTGATGGAGTCAGCGTCAACTGTCCATTCCGTGGATAGGGGAATGAACCAAGACAGCCCGTACACCAGGATGTTAGAAACACCCCTGTTGTGAACTGCACAGAGAGGTAAACCCCAAAAACCCAGCAGAAGAGTCACTCGAAGTAACCAGCCCCAAAGAGCCAAGGACCGAAAAGACCTCCCGCGGTTCAGGCAATTAACTACCGAAACACAGTCAGAATGGAGCCAAACTATAGTCTGAAGCTAGCTGAATCCACTGCAGCAAAAGCCACAATGCTGCAAATTCGCACAAGGCGAGATGGGACTCGGAAGACATATCCATGGTCACCCGAGCCAACTATTAATGGAAAACAGACCCCTGAGAAGGGCGCAACCTAGGGGGCCGAGCGGAGGACTATCAACGGAACCTAGGTGAACCTAATGGAAAGAACTTAAAAGAATGAAAATAAAACCCCAAAAGTGTACCTCAACAACAGGAAGCCAGAGAGAGACACACGGCTGCCATTAGTATGTGAGCTGTGCAGCACCATGAGCCCACACCAGCAACAAAAACTCCCTACCCAGGGCCAAACAAAAGCACCAAGACCACTGTTGACCCCAAGGGTGTGACCGATGCCAAGCGACAGCAACCCTTACGTGAGTGAAAACCTGAAAGCCCCATGGAAGATAACCCTGAGACCCAAGAGATGTACTTACAGGGCGCCTAGGAAAGAGAACCCTAAGCACATGTAGCCCGAAGTACAGGAACACCTGGCCACCGCCAAACATACAGCAGGTACAACCACTAGGGTAAAATCCTGACAGGAAATCGAAGCCAGGAAGAAGTCAGCCCCAGTCGGCTTCAGTCAATAAACTGGTGGGCTTGTTACCTTGTTTTTCTTGGGGAGGGGGGGGGGAAGTTTTGGGCTCTGTTAGGTCTTGGGTTGCAATTTTCTACCAGCTGGGGTCTGTTTTGGGGTGCCTAATCCGGTCAATGGCAGATATGAATATATTCTCAAAGAGTGTAGTTTTCATAGGCCATTGCTCCCGGCTCCTCTCTGAGGAAATCAGATTCTGGCTCGTGGTTCATGGTAGGCATAAGAACTCCACTGACTGAAGCCCCCAGACTAATATAGCTACTACTATCAGTCCGATAGCTCCAGGGAGTCGACGGGCTCCCCACATAAAAAATAAGAGATTTGTTGAGAGGCCGAATGATGAATAAAAACTACTGTATAATTGTGATTATTGCAACTCTTGCCTTCAAAGCAATACATCCAGTGAGGATACACCTATGATAAGGTTAACATTAATCATAGGCTACCACTGCAACAAGTAACACAATAGTACTGTACCACAGAATACATGAGAGCTGTGTAAACTTAATATACAAGTAAGAAATAATACAGACATTTTCTACACAATCTCAAAACATACTCACCTAAGAGTGGAAACTGCTGCATGATTCAGTTTCAACTGTTCCATCTGAGCATTGAGGTATGTCATAGTATCAAAAAAAGCAGATGATTTTCTTGATATCTGCCTGCTCATATCCATCTCAACAGTTTCTAGGTAATGGAATAGCTGAGGAGAAAAAACCAGCGTTAAATGTAATGAAACGCCATTTTCTGGGTGAGCCCCGGAGGCTCCCTGGAGCTTATCGGGCTAATGTATGTTATATTAGACCGGGACATTAGCTAAGGAGTTCAGACCTACCAGGGACCAGCGCCAGAACCTGGCCCCTTCAGAGAGGTTTCAGGGAGCAATGGCCCTGGAAAACCCCTTTGTGGTTGGGGTTTTCCTTATCTGCCATCGACCGGGGTTAGGCACCCAGAAAGGTAGGCATAACAAAACAAACCCCACATGGTAAAAAACTAAAACAAAAAACCGAACAGAGAGGTAGAAGCTCCCTACAATCCCAAGGAAACAAGCAAACATCACACTTTACTGCCGCGCCGATCGTCCGCGCAGCCCTCCCCACCCCGAGAGGGGGAGGGGGAAGCCCCGGACCTCACCGCGCCGGCTGCCTAGCATCAGTTCGGAAGCTAAGCTTCAATCAACGCGAAAAAAACGCCGACCGGTGGGAGGGAGGGTTTCCAGGGAGCCTCCGGGGCTCACCCAGAAAATGGCGTTTCATTACATTCAACGCTGGTTTTCTGTGGGGAGCCCCTACGGCTCCCTGGAGCTTCATACCCAAAGAGAAGGAAAAGAAAGGGCTGACCCGGGAGGCGGCCGCCACAAACTCTGCAACGCGAAGCCGAGACCACAGGCTGCAACCTGCGACCCAAGGCAACAAGAACGCACAGGAGCAGACACGCGCATAAAGAACGGGCGGCCAAGAACCTGTGCAACCCTCAAATCCTTGCGCCCGAAATGAGCCCTAGACGTCACCAACACAGCAGCAAAAGCTGCAAACGTCCAAACATCACGGGCGCAAGGATAGACCGCAGGCTGGAAGACTTAAAAACTATGCGGACGACCTGGGAGACCAGAGGCCTGAAACAGGGAACAAGGGGAACCGGATCAACCCAAAGCGCATCCCCAAACACTGTACGCAGGTAACGGCAAAAAAGCGCAACCGGACAACACAGAAAGCATCCCCGGCCAAACCAATCAAGCATCAATAACCCAAGGACCCCTCCGGAAAGCAGCCGTCTCGACTGTCGCCAGAAGGACGGAGAAAGGCTGCAAACGTACAAACCTACCACCAGTACCAAGGAGCAGAAACCTGAACCGAAGGGGCTACCACAAACTGAGAAGATAAGAAGACACCCTGATCAAGGACCAGGACGGCTCAGGCGACGCATGAGTAGGCCCGAAGGTGAAACAAAACACGAGAAAGCGTACAGAACGGGGCAGATGTGACGTCCACCCCGAACGCAAGCCGGAGTGGCTCCGCCAGCGCCGCACAAAACGAGGCGACAGTAAGAAACATCAAATAACTGTAGTCCTGAAAACCCAAGAAAGGGCGAGACAACCCGATGCGAAAGAGAAGACGACCTACGAAGAGCAAGAAAAAGACACATAGAAACAAGGAACATCATATTGTCGCCGAGACAAAACTCACAGGTGGGACACCATCAACAAAGCCACCTGATCACCACAGAGATTGTGATACCAGCGTCAAAATACCAGACACGAAGAGCCGAGGAGAAGGCCGAACCAGTCACGTACAGGACCGGTCTGACCTGCCGAAAGAGGCGGAACCGCGGGAAAACGCCCCGGGTTCGGACACCTATCAAGCAGCGTCTGAAAATAAAGCTGGGCTGGCCACCAAGGGACCATGAGGACTACTCTCTTGGGAATGGGCTCCAACCGAGCCAAAACCCGAAGCAACAGCTGGACCGGGAGAAGAGGAACAGGTACCCCCACCTCGACCAGTCCTGCCGAAAGGCATCCACTGTGAACGCCTCGCAGGCGGGTAAGGGCGCCACATAGAATGGGCGACGCCTAGACCACGCCGACTCGAAGACGTCCATGGCCAGGAGTCCATACGTCTGGCAGAGCCAACGAAACGAGTCGGCGACGACTGGCCAATCCGCGAACAGAGGAATGGACTGAGACAGGCTGTCCGCCAGGATGAAGGACACACCTCAGACATGAACCTCACAGTTAGCCAAACCCCGAGAATCCAGCAAACGAGCCACTCGAAGGGACCAACCCCAAAGGTCAAACACCTAAGAGAAACCCTGTGGTTCCGGCAAAGAACCGCCAGAGAACAGTCCGAATGGAGCTGAATGGTATAGCACCGAGTGACCCGAACCCTCCGAAGCGCAAACCAGACAGCCACGAACTCCCAAACCGTGCTGTGAGCCCGACGGATGGACAGACCCCACCATCCCCGGCCGACCTGGTGAGCACTGGTCACAAAGCCCCAGCCGAGAGATGACCCGTCCGTAAACACATCGAGCGAAGGCTCGGGGAGGTGCCAAGGCACGGAACCCCAAAAACCCCAAAGAGGAAGCTGGTGACGCAGCACCAACACAAGATCCCCGGAGGAACGAACCCAACAATTGCAAGAGAGGCGGAAGTGGAGTCTCCGAAGGAACCAAACAGACGCCAAAGCCAAACTCGACCCTGCGGGCAGACCAGCATGTCGAAGTTCAGACTCCCACACAACTGCTCGAGAAACCGCCGAGCAACCCGGGACCCCCTCATGAACAGCCGAAGGCGGGATCACAGCCGCAGCAACACTTCTGGAGGGAAAGACAAGGAGCGGCCCAAGAGCCCTAAACAAGACCCAGCCAGGTCCGAACCCGGGACGGAAACAGATGGAACAGCCTCCAGATCACCAGGAAACCAAACCCGGCGATCTGGAAAGAACCACACCCCTGGCGAGCAGACAAGAGGACCGACTGGGAGCCCACACCAGCCAGTCGTCGAGGTAGGCCAGACACCGAATCCCAAGCAGACTCAGACAGGGCACCAAGATCCGGTAAAGATGCGTAAATACACCAAGTGCCAATTACAAACTAGGAAAGGCAACAAAAGCGGCAAGCCTGAAGCTCCACCACCAATTGTGCCAGTCCCGGAAAACTGGAGAGGAAAGTGCCAAGAATTGACCTGGAGGTCCAGGGCCACCATCCAGGCACCCGCCCCAACAGAAGCCGGACCGGAGACAACAGTCCTCCGATGAGGGCATAGAATCCAGGGCGCAGACTGAAGAAGTCCAGAAGAACCGCAGATTCGCCAGGCCCGTGTCTGCATAGAGCAGACGGGAACCCCAGAAGGATGGGGCGGATCGACCACGTCCAACGCACCCACTAAGATGACATGACGAAGCGCAGGGGAAGAAGCCCACCCCGCCAGCCCTGAACCCCCCAAAGGGGGAGAAGCCGTCCGCCACTGCCACCAGAGGCCGGAAGACAACCAAAAGCGCCCACTAACTGCGGGACCATGCGAGAGTCAACAGAGCAAGCTGCTCCCCCAGCACCCCGTCAACAGCAAAGGGAACAGAGCCCCTTCCGAAAGAAAAAGTATATATACATACATACATATATATATATATATATTATGTATATACACATACACACATATATACATATACACATACACACAAGGTATGTTACACACACACACGTATGCACATACACATGTGCACACACACACAGTGTACATATGTACATGCACAGGTGTACACACACGTGAAAAGAAAATTACAAGCCGCCGACCAGTGGGCAGAGAGCACCACGCCGGCCAGGCGAAGAAGGCACAAAACTGCATCAAAAGGCCCACCTCGACAACAAAACCCCAAAGTCCCAGCACGACCACAACACGTGCCAAGACCCAAAAAGATCAGTCTGCAAGCCAGGAAGACCCCGGAACCCCAGAAGGCAGAACCGGGTCACACACGAGGAAACAAAGCCCCCTGAACCCACAAAGGGGGCCCAAGAGGAAGAAACCTCCAGAACGAAACCAAAGAACCCAAAGGAACCCGGAATCGAACCAGGGGGAGCCCAAACCACCACATTTGCCGGCGGAGATACACCACAGAAAGGCAAAGCACAGCCCCCAGACAGAACCCCCAGGGAAACGGTCAAAACAGACCGAAAACCGAGGGACAAGGTGTGGGAGCAAGCATAACAGACAGGGACACTGAGCCCAAACCCTAGGGCCCAGACCCAAAACAGACAAAACGGAAAACCCAGTGTAAAATCAACACTCAAACATTCCCAGAGGAACAGAAAACGGGCAGAAAACACCAGAAAAGCAAAGAAACGACAACAGGAGAATAAAACCCCTGAAAAAGGTGAAAAAATCACCCAAGACGCTCGCTCGCACACCCAGGTGCATGTAAACAAACCGCAACGCCGCCCTGGTGGCCACGCCGGGAAACCGGCAGAAGAAAATGGCCACCAGAACAGAGGGCTGTGACCGACGCAAAAGATACGAAAACACGCCAGCAAAAGTGGGAAGCAAGCAGACTGGATGGGCGAAAAACTCCGCCCAGAAGCAGAAAACCCAGGCAGGGGCAAACAGCCCCAGAACTGCTAGCAGGCATCCCCCACAGCCCCGGGAACCCGCAACAGAGGCCCCGGGGCAGAGCCGTCCTCCAAGCCCTCCGCCCTTAAAGAAAAGGAAGAGTCCATGGGAAAGGCAGCAAGAAAGGGCCGCTGGTAAGACCCAGAAGCCTTGGCAGGAGGAACAGGCTCGAAAACCTCCGTCCCCAACCCGAACGGGGCAGCCCCCGAAACCGCCCGAGTCTCGGCCCCAACTAAACCCCGCCCCGACCCCGAAACCCGCAGACGGTCCGGAGCCGGGAACAGGGAGGGAAAGGGGCGAACAGCACCTAACCAAAACGGGGCGGCCCCGGGGCATCCGAGTGGGAAACCAACCTAGCGTGTTGCAGCAACCTAACCTAGCTTGCAACACGGATGCCGCCTGTACTCTGAACAGTAATAACATCAGGAGAGTACTGGAGAACAAGCAGAGAATATCTCTCGCAAGACTCCGGGTCAAGGTGTCAGTGACCCAACAGGCAACATGACGGAGGTAAAAGTGGCGACTGTCACCCGGAGACAAGGGCACAGCAACCAACGATCCCGTACAAGACGGGTTGGAACCCGGAAGACACATTCAATGGTCCACCGAGCCCCGACAGGGGTTTCCAGGGCCCGTAGGGGTAACAACTACGGGAAGCCCGGGCAAGGTGTTGCTAACCGGTTAAACACCCAAAAATAACAAGGGGGTAGAGGACAACACTGAAAACCCCTGCGACGTGTACAATCACGGGGGCCTAGCAGAGGGCCACCAAACACTACCAGTGGAACTATAGCCACACTAGGCAGACCCCCACCAGGCAAATGAAAATAAAAACAAAAGAAAAACCCCGCAAAAGTACACCGTCTCCAGAGGCAACAGGAACCGGTCGCCGCTTAGGTGGCAGGTCGCGCAACACCTTGACGCCCTAACCAGCACAATACCAGTCCCTACCCAGGGCCAAACAAGGGCCCCAAGCCCCAGCTGGCCCCAAGGGCGAGGCAAATGCCGAGCAGCAAGAACCTCTACGGGAATGGTTCCCGAACGCCCCAGGGAAGATAACCCTGTCACGCAGGGGCAGTACTCACAGGGCGCTTAGGGAAGGAAGCCCCTAAGCGCATGCAGCCCTGGTACTGATGAGGAACACCTGGCCACCGCACAACACAACACACGGCAGTGAACGCCACACAAGGCAAACACCGCCTAGGAAACTGAGGCCAGAGAAGCGTCTATCCCGGTTGACATTAGCTTACGAACTGATGCTAGGCAGCCGGCGCGGTGAGGTCCGGGGCTCCCCCCTCCCCCTCTCGGGGCGGGGAGGGCTGCGCGAACGATCGGCGCGGCAGTAAAGTGTGATGTTTGCTTGTTTCCTTGGGATTGTAGGGAGTTTCTACCTCTCTGTTCGGTTTTTTGTTTTAGTTTTTTACCATGTGGGGTTTGTTTTGTTATGCCTACCTTTCTGGGTGCCTAACCCCGGTCGATGGCAGATAAGGAAAACCCCAACCACAAGGGGGTTTTCCAGGGCCATTGCTCCCTGAAACCTCTCTGAAGGGGCCAGGTTCTGGCGCTGGTCCCTGGTAGGTCTGAACTCCTTAGCTAATGTCCCGGTCTAATATAACATACATTAGCCCGATAAGCTCCAGGGAGCCGTAGGGGCTCCCCACAGAAAATACAGTTTTTGTCCGTTTTTTGGCCATTTGAGCATAAAAGTTGTCATTATATATCTCGCCATGGGTCTCAAGAAAGCCATTGGTAAGGTTCAACCTAAGAAAATAGCTGTGAGTAGAGGCAGTAGAGGATGTCCCTTCTTGATTAAGAAAATGTGTGAAGTATGGGAAGAACTGCAAAGTTCTGTTGAAAAAACTCACCCAGATAAAGCTGTAGCAGGCCGTTGCATTGACCTTTTAAATGACAATGTGATGTCTTAATACAGACAAGTGTTAAAATGTAGGGAAAAACAAGTGTCTTTAGAGAGATTCTTAGTAAGACAAGCAAGTCCTAGTGGTATGCAGGCAAAATGTGCCAGAGTGTGCATACCAGTGAAGTCCTCACTGCCTGATGTTATAATGGAAGGGGACTTTCCCTTCCAAACAGTAACACCTCTCCTCCTCCCTCCTCCTCACATCTTCCATACACCAACAGCAGTCCTCAGCAAGGGTAAGTAATAACTTGAACATAGTTTTGTAGGTTTATTTAGATGAATTAGGTATAAAAATTTAGTTTGATGTGGGGTTTTTGGGGTAGTCAGGAACGGATTAATTCATTTCCCATTATTTCTTATGGGGAAATTAGCTTCGGAATACAAGTTTTCGGAATACGAGCCGTCTCCAGGAACGAATTAAACTCTTAAACTGAGGTACCCCTGTAGTTTAAAAGTACATTCTCATGAAATGAGTTTCTAGGAGCAGGCTTCAAATGAGCTGAGGTAGGATAATAGCTCTTGCTTGTAGTTTCACTAGGTATGTCATTTGACAATCCTTATAAACCTTAGTCTTAGTTTATGAAAAAAAAAATAAAAATGCCCCCAACCATTTTTGTCCCGCCCGGGATTTGAACCCTGAATTCTGGATTGTGAGTCCAGATCAAACCCCACTGTACTATTGGGCCTCTCAAACATAAGCAACATTCAGCAAGCATGTGTGGAAAGCATTCATCAAGTGACAATGACTCCTTAATATTAAAGCAAGCCATGAAAATCATCAGTTTAGAGGTGAAAATGCATGTTAAATCAGGTTGTTGTTTTTTTTTTTTGAGATATATACAAGAGTTGTTACATTCTTGTACAGCCACTAGTACGCGTAGCGTTTCGGGCAGGTCCCTGGAATACGATCCCCGCCGCGAAGAATCGTTTTTTCATCCAAGTACACATTTTACTGTTGCATTAAACAGAGGCTACAGTTAAGGAATTGCGCCCAGTAAATCCTCCCCGGCCAGGATACGAACCCATGACATAGCGCTCGCGGAATGCCAGGCGAGTGTCTTACCACTACACCACGGAGACTGTAGTTGTTGAATGCTTCATCAAATTCAAATGTTTATTCAGGTACAAGTACATACATAGAAGATGAATTACAAACATAATGTTGGATTTATAGATAGAGCTAGTACATACAATACCTAAAGCCACTAATACGCATAGCGATTCGGGGCAAAAGGTTGTTTCGGGCCTTGGTCGTTCATAACAATTTAGGGGTATGGTCTTTGCTCTCAGCCTGACTATGTAAGTGTTAAATATGTGATCTTTCTCAGAAAACAGGAAACCATATGTAAACTAATTTTTAATTAAATAATTTGAACCACCATGTCTCTATTATTTAGCTTGTACTGTATCCCTCATTGGACAGCAATCATATTGGAAATTGTCTCCTCTTCATTCAGTTTCCTTAATATGTATTCCATAATTTTTAGACTAAGGCATTTTTATATAGACTATGAGTTGGCAAGAATAAAATGAGAACCTTCTCATTTTGTTAGCATATGTCTCCTTTAGTATTAAGTGTTTTACCCCTCACACCTTTAATAAAAAAAAAATTGCCTATTTATTTTAAGTTTTGCGGGAAACGGTTTGCGTAATAGTGGCTTCATTAGTATGTGTAACTCCTGTCCCTACAATTGTACATTACTCTTATGTTCTTTGTACACACACATTCTTTTAAATAATCATTATCATTATTAATATGAAACTAATAATGTATACCCTTACCTCTAGGACTGGGTTCCAGTGAAGACTCTTCTGCAGCCTCTTGTGCTTTGCCAGCCTGAAGGGAGGCTAGTCGAGCAAGGAGTTTTTGCCTTTTGCGGAGTCGTCTAACATAAGACTCCACATGTTTTGTGGTAACTTGAGGAAGAGCCACATGAGAAGGAATTTCTTTAACTTCTACAAAACTTTCACCCCAAGTTTTAGTGAAAAAATCCCGCTGAAAAAGAGAGTACAGTACAGTACACTAAATATAAATCTGTATAATATACAATATTATTTTTATACATAATTACATGCACACTGTCATCTTGGCCGTACATACGGACCTTGGACGTGTCCATCTTGAAGCCTCATGGAGTTGTGAATGCTCTACAGTAAATACGTACTGTAGTGTATTATGCCGTTAGCACTGTGTTGATTAAGTAGTTCTGCTGTATGTTGAGTACTACAATACAGTTTATGAAAACTATTGTACACTAAAATTACTGCAACTTTAATTTTAACACTATGTACACACTTAAATTTAACATTTGTTCTAATTGTTCACTTCACACACGATGTTTATAGATGCTTGCATCAGTTTTGCTGCTGCTGTGTTGACTTCAGCTGCTGCTGTGCTCATGCTGGGCACGGCTGTGCTCATGCTGGGCACGGCTGTGCTCATGCTGGGCACGGCTGTGCTCATGCTGGGCACGGCTGTGCTCGTGATGAGCACAGCTGTGCTCGTGCTGGGCACGGCAGTGTTCGTGCTGGGTAATTAATTACCTAAGTGTAGTTACAGGATGAGAGCTACGCTCATGGTGTCCCGTCTCCCCAGCACTCTTTGTCATATAATGCTTTGAAATTACTGACGGTTTTGGCCCCCACCACCTTCTCACGTAACTTGTTCCAACCGTCTACCACTCTGTTTACAAAAGTGAATTTTCTTATATTTCTCCGGCAGCTTTATTTTGTTAGTTTAAATCTATGACCTCTTGTTCTTGAAGTTCCAGGTCTCAGGAATTCTTCCCTATCAATTTTATCGATTCCTGTTACTATTTTGAACGTAGTGATCATAGCGCCTCTTTTTCTTCTATCTTCTAGTTTTTGCATATTTAATGCCTCTAACCTCTCCTCATAGCTCTTGTCCTTCAGTTCTGGGAGCCACTTAGTGGCATGTCGTTGCACCTTTTCCAGTTTATTGATGTGCTTCTTAAGATATGGGCACCATACAACCACTGCATATTCCAGCTTTGGTCTAATAAAAGTCGTGAACAATTTCTTTAGTATTTCTCCATCCATGTATTTAAAAGCAATTCTGAGGTTAGAAAGTGTAGCATAGGCTCCTCGCACAATGTTCTTAATGTGGTCCTCAGGTGACAATTTTCTATCTAGAACCACCCTTAGATCCCTTTCTTTGTCAGAATTCTTTAAAGATTTCTCACATAATTTATACGTTGTGTGGGGTCTATGTTCTCCAATTCCACATTCCATAACATGGCATTTATTCACATTAAATTCCATTTGCCAAGTGTTGCTCCATATACTTATTTTGTCCAGGTCTTCTTGAAGGGCATGACAATCATCTAAGTTTCTTATCTTCCCTATTATCTTAGCATCATCAGCAAACATGTTCATGTAATTCTGTATTCCCACTGGTAGATCGTTTATGTAGACAATGAACATTACCAGTGCAAGAACTGATCCCTGTGGTACTCCACTCGTGACATTCCTCCAATCCGATACCTTGCCTCTGATTACGGCTCTCATTTTTCTGTTAGTTAAGAAATTTTTCATCCATGTTAGTAGCTTACCTGTCACCCCTCCAGTATGTTCCAGTTTCCAGAACAACCTCTTATGGGGAACTGTCGAAAGCCTGTTTTAGGACCAGATAGATGCAATCAACCCAACCATCTCTTTCTTGTAAAATCTCTGTGACTCGATCATAAAAACTGAGCAAGTTCGTTACATAGGATCTTCCAGATCGAAAACCATACTGTCTGTCTGATATTATATCGTTTTCCTCCAGGTGTTCTACCCATTTAGTTTTAATTATTTTTCCAATATTTTGACTATTACACTTTGTAACATTTATTACATTTATTACATTTTGTAACTATTCAGCATTGTTATGTCAACAAGGTTGGAAAAACATTTTCACTGTTTTCCATATACACTCCACTGCCCCCACCATCATATCACAATTATCCACCAAACGCATGTTGATGCTATAGTCCAAGACACAATCTGGCTAATAGATTATCTGTTTTGTTCTGTTCACCTTGCCACTGTCCAACATTGTACCATCGTGAATGGTGGTCAACATGTTCACTTCACCCCTGTTTTTCCACCGCACTGAAAGCATTGCACCTGTTTTTCTTAGCTCACAATCACCAACCTGCATAGCACCTGGAAACACTGGCATTTCCATTCGTTTTGCCTTCACTGTGCCACACGCTCCAGTTCTATTATCAAGCAAGAACCTGGTTAGCAAGGGACTGGGATAATTGTTATCTGTGTATAATATGTGGCCCTTGTTCAGATATGGTGCAAGCAGAGCCTTCACAACACTACCTGAGAAGCCATGTTGGTCATTAGCAGGAATGTCTACATTTGTACCTGTATACATTATCATGTTTAACACTATTCCTGTTTCACAGTCACGGAGTACAAAGAATTTCAATCCAAATCGGTGGCGTTTAGAGGGAATATACTGCTTGAAGGCAAGACGTCCTTTGAAAAGCACAAAGGATTCGTCAATCACCAACTTCTGAGATGGTACGTAGAAATCCCTGTATTTTAAAATAAGTTCATTCAGGACATGCTTTACCTTCCAAAGTCTATCATCATCATTCTGGTCTTCATCATTTGCAAAATGAAGACACCTGAGGATTATCGAAAATCAGTGTCGAGACATATATTTGCCGAACATTGGTGTTGAAACAGTATGGTCTTTGCTCCAATAATGGTCGAGTAATGTTTGACACAATGTTTCACCAACATACACAGTGCCAAAAACACATATTTTACCTACAGTCGTATCTTTCCATCGCTGTAAACGTGAAAAATCAGATAACTCCTCCTCATCAACGAGATCAGCTGCATATTTGTTCGTTTCCTGAACAATATATTCCACGAGCGGCTCATCAAAATATACTGTAAAGTAGTCCATTTCACACATATTGGGATCTGTATCAGGGAAAAGGTCTGTAATCCCAACATCTGAATTATCAAAGACAGGAATTTGTGGAACAAAATCTGTCCCATCACTCCACACAAAAACACCTGTTGTCTTTCGAGAGGCCATAGCAGCACCACTGCGAGGAAACCGTAGACCAGGAGCTGAAGCAGGTCTAGCAACAGTAGGGGCGGGCAAGGACGATGACGGAAAATTACTTGATGTTGAGGGTCTTTGTTCATCAGCGTCCCCATGCGGTCCCATGCGGTGCCGCATTGCTTGGCCAGATGCTGCTGATGCGACAAAATGTTGCTTGGCAACACCACACACTCCACTGGCACTAACGGCACCAAAACTATTTTCCCATTCCAAGTCACTAAAACAGGAAAATGATTCACCTTCCTCAGGCTCGTCGACCAAAACATCAATATCTTGCAAGGATATTGCACAAGACAACACAGCCCATGAACTGTGTGGTCTGGCACAAAGTGGGGTCGAATGAGGGTGAGGAGGCATGGGCGAGATGCTAGGCCTAGCCCTCGTGGAACCAGCATGTTCACACTCATCGTCGGTCATATCCACATCTGAGGGCTGTGTGTAGTCGTGATCAATGTCGGAGTCGTCAATATCAGATTCATCGCCATCCGGGAACAAATTCTTATTAATTTCATCCTCGGTCAGAGGTCGCGATGAACTCTTCGTTGAGCGGAGTCGGTCAGTGAAATGTGATGTGCTCGCCATGGTGTCCGCCGGGTAACTGAGGCCTGTACACAATGGCGGCCTACGCTGGATTTTTTTTCCCAGGTGGGGTTTGTTTATGGTCGGATGCGGCTTGCTGATGACTACCCCTATCCCACGTGTGGTGCTTAAATTATAGAGCTAGACACGAAAACAGCTATTAATGTACACTGTACCGGTATTGTAACTCAAATCATCTATATATGTATTGTGCGGTCTAAAGGTTAAGGAAAATAAGGAAAACAGAAAGCAGAAAAGAAAAAAAACCCAACCCCAGAGGGGTTTTTCCAGGGCCATTGCTCCCTCTGCCTCTCTGAGGCCAGGTTCTGGCTCGTGGACCCCCATGAGGCTGAACTTCATAGACTAATGCCCGTCTAATGATTCGCATATTAGCTCTAGGGAGCTGAAGCGGCTACCCACAGAAAAGCTTAACTCTTACTCTTTGTCTTTCTCTAGAAAGACAAAGAGTAAGAGGATGACATGATTAAGCATATAAATGGAAGAAATAGAAAAACAAAGGAGATAGAGTATACACAACATTTTAAGCAAGTCAACACAAAATAGAACTCAAAACAAAGGATATAAATGGGAAAAGCTTAGATTAAAGAAAGCTGGGTAAATACTGGTATGGAAACAGGTTTGTTGACCTGTGGAGCAACACACTTAGGAACATTACATGTGGCATCAATGAACTGTTTCAAGTGTAGGTTAGGAATATATAAATGAGTTTGGGTCGATACAACTAATAGCTGCCTCATATTGTCCAATAGATATTTTGCAGTTTACTTAATTCATCTTTTTATGTATTGCCTTTAACAAATAAATAACAAAGAATACTTGAATACTTCACTTAACATCTACTGATCCAAGCCCTCCACATTAAAATTTTGATTATTGGAATTTCTACAAAATATTTTTTTCCCCTTACCGTCATCCCCTTTCTTGGATCATTAAGTACAGCAGGAACATTTTGAGTCGAGGAGAAGACACCCCATTTCTCCTCTCTACCTCTTGCTTGCACCTTGGATATGACTCCTGAGCTTCCTGAAATTTCACACAAATCTTAAGAAATTTCTAATAAATAATTTCATAATTATACTTCTTGGTAAATCCCATGCATCAGATTGGTCAATTAATTTCTATGGATTTAAGCAACTTCAAATTTGAGATTAAAGGTCACTACTACAAAGTCAATTTACCTCTCCTTTAGCTTATAACAGCACTTCTTTGCCTTTAAATAATGCTATAATGTACACAAAAAATAATAATTGTACTGTATTAAGACACTAGAATAATATTTGGACTGTTTCATTAATGTTCAGCTCTTCCTAGAACATGTTTCTAGAACATGCTTCCTACAACCAGTACTACTTACCATCGCCAACACAGTGAGGATCCTTCCAACTCATTACCGCTCGGGTATATGCGGGGGAGATGCAAGAGAATCCTTAATACACAGCGGGGATCCTTCCAACTCATTACCGCTCGGGTATACTCGAGGGAGACACAAGAGAATCCTTAATACAAAGCGGGGATCCTTCCAACCCATTACCGCTCAGGTATATGCGGGGGAGATGCAAGAGAATCCTTAATACACAGCGGGGATCCTTCCAACCCATAACCGCTCGGGTATACTCGAAGGAGACACAAGAGAATCCTTAATACACAGCGGGGATCCTTCCAACCCATTACCGCTCAGGTATATGCGGGGGAGATGCAAGAGAATCCTTAATACACAGCGGGGATCCTTCCAACTCATTACCGCTCGGGTATACTCGAGGGAGACACAAGAGAATCCTTAATACACAGCGGGGATCCTTCCAACCCATTACCGCTCAGGTATATGTGGGGGAGATGCAAGAGAATCCTTAATACACAGCGGGGATCCTTCCAACCCATTACCGCTCAGGTATATGCGGGGGAGATGCAAGAGAATCCTTAATACACAGCGGGGATCCTTCCAACCCATAACCGCTCGGGTATACTCGAGGGAGACACAAGAGAATCCTTAATACACAGCGGGGATCCTTCCAACCCATAACCACTCGGGTATACGCGGGGGAGACACTAAAGAATCCTTAATTCAACCCAGTGACCCTTAGAAGACTCCTTTAACTACACTCAAAATACATTTACCTCAACATCCCACTAGATGTCACTACCCAAATATACTCAATTAAATATAAAGAATTTCATATACATAACTCAATTCTGTTATACCAGTTTCTGAGATATGGATAGAAAGTTACCCCACTCATTACTATAATATTTTATCTTTACCTATAATTTTAGGTTTTCTCCTGTAGCAGTCAAGACTGATTTTGTTCATTTATTATGCACCCCATACCCATCCCATGGGATGTAGTGGAAAAGGTTACAGAGGCACATAATGGGTTCTTGAACTGAAGCCCATATTAATTTAGCTAAGCAGGTTACACTCTGATAAACTAATTACACAGTTAATGAATATATCAATAGACTCTTAAAGCACAACTGGTTCAAGAACTGGACCATGACAGTCTTTAAACTGAGTAATTTACATTTGTAATGAGCCAGTTACATATTTACTAATCATGCACCCCACACCTGTCAATGACCAGTGGTTGTAAGTTTACAATCATCCCCATGCACTACCTACAGTAAGCAAACATTGGATATTTGGTGAAGAATTCTGGTAGTATTTTATTTTGAATGAACTTACATATTTCTTGAACATTTGCAATAGAGTTATCTCTAAATTCTGAATATTTTGTCCCATTCAATTTCACAGTGATGAAAGGTATGCAAACTGTTCTGGTGACAGTTTATGTTTAGTCCCAGCCACATCAGCAGGGGACTCCCAGAGGCCCTTGTAACCAAGCCCAAGCCTAGCAGTAGTGATGTCTACAAGTTTCCTCACCTTTTTGGATCACCCCACAGAAAGGCATAAATATGGTAAACTAAAAATAAAAAACTGTCTCAAACTTAATTATTTTGCATAAATATATGTGCATGATGCCACATGTTTCATAATACTTCTAATTAATTACTCTTATGTACTGAATATTTACAAAGTTTACCTTTATTTGGCAATAACAGTCAGAGAAATGTCAAATACAGCCCTGTATTAGAGGTTTCTACTTTCCGAAACATTAACCTAAGGCACATTAACCTCAGCTTCACTCCTATATAGCATACTGTACTGTAGAATGTTAACTAAAGTAGGTTGCTGTCTAAGGGTTAAACCACTTTGTCACTCCTTTTGGCAAAAATCCCCAAGGCTAATGAGTCTCTCTCTCTAGGGACTCGGCTCATCAGGCCTCTGCCACTTTATGGGCCAGGTTTTCCTATATACAGTACTGTACCAGCATAGAGTTTGTGGCTTAGAGTTAATAAGGTTACCCTGAGGTTGGCCAGTTTGTCTTTTCATGATCCAGGCTTAGAGCAGCTGGTGAAGTTTACCTGCTACAAGTTTGCTCTTCTATATCATTCCAAAGGCTTCACTATTGTTTTTGGTAGGTACAGAGGACTTCCCCTTTACTCCCAGTTCTGAACGGCATAAGCTCAGTCCCAATGACAATACATGGTACAGGCCTCAGGGGTGGGGACATATCCCCCAACCCTACAAACAGAAAACAGAGGCAGTAAGAATGCTAACAGATTACTGTACAAGAAAACCAAGGCACATTCTCAAAGCTCACACCCAGTGAGGGAAGAATCGGAGTGCTGATCCTTAATGAACCCTCTCAAATCTGTAAAGGGCTTGCTGGGGTCCCGAAGGATAGACCAAGTAGGAATTACCGGGCACCAGGGCCACTTGCCATATAACTCCAATACAAAAACAGCCTAAAGGCATAAGTGACTGTTAAGGGTATGAGCAGCACACTGTATAAGGAGCACAACAGCACCATCTGCTAGCTTTGTACAAAACCTTGACTGCCCCCTAACCACTAAGCCTCAAACACGAGTCAAAGACCTGTGCATTACTAAGGGTAATGCACAGGTCAGTGACAACAAACTGAACCCAAAAAGGAAGGTAACTGAGGCTGGGAAAAGGCAACACCAGAAAACATCTAGAAACATGCAGTTTGAGGTGAACAGTTAACAGAAATCCACAAAAGAGGAGAGACATAAATAAGCAAGCACTGAAGCAAACACTAAAATAAAAAACAAATGCACAAACAAAGGGCCCTTACCAGACAATGTCAAATTGCAATGTCATGGATGACTGGCTATCAAGGCTACGGAATCAAAATGGAAGGTGCACAGTACCTTGGTGGCACAGAAGTGGCACACTTCACAACTGGGTGGTTTGTTCGGTTCAGGGTCTCGTCTCGTTTTCTATACTCTGTTTACCTTTCTAACTGTCCGTTTTGTCTCGTCCATCTTTCTGGTTCCCTTATCTTGGATAGGGTGATCTAATACCCCATGCTCCTTGCACACCTCTAAAGAGGGGGGGCCAGGTTCTGGCCTCTTGTCCTAGGTAGGTTTACAATGACTAACAAGGGCCTGGCATGAATTGAACTGGGGTGGAGCTAGTCCAGGTATCTAGTACTAAGGAGACCCCACAGGAGCCCTCCCAGAAATGTGCATTATGTACAGCAGAACTTAATTCTATCATTACAATGTTCCTTACCCTTACTAAGCATGGTGAAAGCATGGTGTTTTAACACGTGGTCCTCATAATCCTGGTCACTTACTCCCTCGAGCGGTAATGATGAACACACTCCATTGTAGCCATATCTACACACAAAACTTCCACCTTCCTTTGCACAGTGGCAATCACGTATATGTCTGTAGGCACATATTGATTAATGAAGCAGTGCTAGAAAGCATTATAAATTATACTGTAATTTCATAATAATCTGCACAGTATTACAAAGAATGAATGAACTTTGTATTACAAATCTGACTTCAACCTTCCTCTCATACATTTCATAGATGTTTTATTAGCATTAATTCATACATCTTTATTGTTTAATGATATCAGATAACTGAAACATCAGTAGTACTAACCTAATAAAGTCATTTGGCAATTTGAAGATACGTCCTTGGCAATAGAGACATTGTCGCCAGCCATGACTGGTCGTCAGTAATGACGACCCTATGCCACTTCCAACTTCAGTCATTACGAATATTCATAATGCCATAAACTGAAGAAAAAATGTTAATAGGAACAGTGAACAACACAATAAGAAAATACTATACTGTATTATGGATTTTTATGACAAAGAATCAGATCATAAGCCAACAAACAGCCTTGTGTTTCCCATCATTTGAATAATCAACAAAAGTTAAAAAGTTTCAATAGTTTATTACACACCACAAATAAAGTCTATAAAAAAAAGAGCAAATGAAGTTAAATGATTGAAACTAACAATAATCACATGTATAATATGCCTTTGAATACAAATTCTTTCAAAATAATACACCAGTTGGGTGTATTGAAGGAATCTTGGTGCGCATTCTGTACATACTGCACTACCCTTGCTAAGCTTCGTGAAAACTGTGTACACACTGTACTAAAAATGATGTTTAACCCTTAAACTGCACATAGCGTATATATATGCCATGAGTAACATGTCCCACGGTGCGCATGGCGTATATATATGCCATTGGGTGCCAGGCACAATTCAAATCGCCCGTGGTTAGCTTCCTCAGGGCTCTTGTAAACAGACGCCATTTTTAACAAAAATCATGGGCAATATTTTCCGGTGTAAGAGCCACAGTACTGTTGGAGCAACCAAGGCTGGCGCACGCAGCATGAGCAAATAGTATTGCTGTTCAGCTTGTGAACACAGCATCACCGAAAAATGTCAAAATAAAAATATAACTGCTAATATTTAGCGATGACATTATTACAGATGACCCTTGACTGTGATAAAAATGACCAGGATTGTGATAATAGCAGGATTGTTGTGATAATTAGCGCAGTGGGAGAAGTGATGCTGAGGGACGGAGGGAGATAGCATCATTTACTGACTGTGTAATTACCTAAGTGTAATTACCTAAGTGTAGTTACAGGATGAGAGCTACGCTCGTGGTGTCCCGTCTTCCCAGCACTCTTTGTCATATAACGCTTTGAAACTACTGACGGTCTTGGCCTCCACCACCTTCTCCCCTAACTTGTTCCAACCGTCTACCACTCTGTTTGCGAAAGTGAATTTTCTTATATTTCTTCGGCATCTATGTTTAGCTAGTTTATATCTATGACCTCTTGTTCTTAACGTTCCAGGTCTCAGGAAATCTTCCCTATCGATTTTATCAATTCCTGTTACTATTTTGTATGTAGTGATCATATCACCTCTTTTTCTTCTGTCTTCTAGTTTTGGCATATTTAATGCCTCTAACCTACCTCTCCTCGTAGCTCTTGCCCTTCAGTTCTGGGAACCACTTAGTAGCATGTCTTTGCACCTTTTCCAGTTTGTTGATGTGCTTCTTAAGATATGGGCACCACACAACTGCTGCATATTCTAGCTTTGGCCTAACAAAAGTCGTGAACAATTTCTTCAGTATATCGCCATCCATGTATTTAAAAGCAATTCTGAAGTTAGAAAGCGTGGCATAGGCTCCTCGCACAATATTCTTTATGTGGTCCTCAGGTGATAGTTTTCTATCTAGAACCACCCCTAGATCTCTTTCTTTATCAGAATTCTTTAAAGATTTCTCACATAATATATAGGTTGTTTGGGGTCTATGTTCTCCAATTCCACATTCCATAACATGGCATTTATTAACATTAAAATCCATTTGCCAAGTGGCGCTCCATGTACTTATTTTGTCCAGGTCTTCTTGAAGGGCATGACAATCATCTAAGTTTCTTATCCTTCCTATTATCTTAGCATCATCAGCAAACATGTTCATATAATTCTGTATACCAACTGGTAGATCATTTATGTAGACAATAAACATCATTGGTGCAAGAACTGAACCCTGTGGTACTCCACTTGTGACATTTCTCCAGTCCGATACATTGCCTCTGATCACAGCCCTCATTTTTCTATCAGTCAGAAAATTTTTCATCCATGTTAGAAGCGTACCTGTCACTCCTCCAATATTTTCCAGTTTCTTGGCCACCTGTTATTGTCTGCATTCACCATACCAGCTCAGGGGTTCTCTATGGTGAACACAAATGTAGATACTTCTATATAATGTGTGTATTAGTGTTATAACAGCAAAAGGATCATGTTCGGAGGAGCCATTTGGGTGACAAAAGTAGCGTCATCTGCATGACTTGTCTAGCTGTGTAGAGGGTGGCCACTATGCTCTTTGGGCACTCTACTTTGACTTCAACTTGAAATCCATAGACTGGGTAGCATATGAAGCTAAAACAGAAGATTTTTGGACCTGTAGATTTGTAGACCTCAACCTGGAAACATTCTTGTATCAACAATGTTAAACAAGCTACGAGGATGAGGGAAGGGGACGTTCCCTCCATGCTAGATTTGATATTTACCAGGAAGGAGGAAGAGATATTTGACATTCAGTACCTTCCTCTCTTGGGTAAAAGTGACCATGTCTTTTTGGGAATAAAGTATGCAATGCGTTATAAGCTGGAAGAAAATAAGGAGGTTGAAGCAGTTGAAAAACCAGACTTCAGGAGAGGACATTATGGCGACCTTAGAAATATTTTTAGTGAGTATAATTGGACAGACTTGATGCTAGGCAAGGAAATGAATGAGATGTATGTCAAGTTTTGTGAAATATATGAAAAAGGCACAAAAAAATTTATACCAAAACAGAGATACAGAACTAGGAAACATGATTGGTTCAATAGAAATTGCGAGAGGGCCAGAGACCAAAAGACACAAAAATGGAATAAATACAGGAAGAGGCCAAACTCCTAAACATACCAGCGATACAAAGATGCGAGAAACAACTACATGGCAGTGAGGAGAAAGGCAGAAAGAAATTTTGAAAAAGGGATTGCAGACAAATGTAAAACAGAACCAGGTCTATTCTATAAATTCATAAACAACAAATTGCAGGTAAAGGATAATATTCAGAGGTTGAAAATGGGAAATAGATTCACGGAAAATGAAAAGGAAATGTGTGAAACACTAAACGAAAAGTTCCAAAGTGTGTTTGTACAAAATGAAATCTTTAGGGAACCAGACACAATAAGAATTCCAGAGAACAACATAGAGCACATAGAGGTGTCTAGAGACGAAGTGGAAAAAATGCTCAAGGAGCTAAGTAAGAACAAAGCAGTTGGTCCAGATGGAGTTTCACCATGGGTTCTGAGAGAATGTGCACCTGAGCTCAGCATTCCATTTCAACTGATTTTTCAGGCATCCCTGTGTACAGGAGTTGTAGCTGATGGGTGGAAAAAGGCTAACATAGTTCCAATCTACAAAAGTGGAAACAGGGAAGACCCCCTTAATTATAGACCTGTATATTGACAAGTGTAATAGTCAAAATATTGGAAAAATAATTAAAACTAAATGGGTAGAACACCTGGAGGAAAACGATATAATATCAGACAGACAGTATGGTTTTCGATCTGGAAGATCCTGTGTAACGAACTTGCTCAGTTTTTATGATCGAGCCACAGAGATTTTACAGGAAAGAGATGGTTGGGTTGACTGCATCTATCTGGACCTAAAAAAGGCTTTCGACAGAGTTCCCCATAAGAGGTTGTTCTGGAAACTGGAACATATTGGAGGGGTGACAGGTAAGCTACTAACATGGATGAAAAATTTCCTGACAGAAAAATGAGGGCCGTAATCAGAGGCAAGGTATCGGATTGGAGGAATGTCACGAGTGGAGTACCACAGGGTTCAGTTCTTGCACTGGTAATGTTCATTGTCTACATAAACGATCTACCAGTGGGAATACAGAATTACATGAACATGTTTGCTGATGATGCTAAGATAATAGGAAAGGTAAGAAACCTAGATGATTGTCATGCCCTTCAAGAAGACCTGGACAAAATAAGTATATGGAGCAACACTTGGCAAATGGAATTTAATGTGAATAAATGCCATGTTATGGAATGTGGAATTGGAGAACATAGACCCCACACAACCTATAAATTATGTGAGAAATCTTTAAAGAATTCTGACAAATAAAGGGATCTAGGGGTGGTTTTAGATAGAAAACTGTCACCTGAGGACCACATTAAGAACATTGTGCAAAGAGCCTATGCTACACTTTCTAACCTCAGAATTGCTTTTAAATACATGGATGGAGAAATACTAAAGAAATTGTTCACGAATGCAGCGGTTGTATGGTGCCCATATCTTAAGAAGCACATCAACAAACTGGAAAAGGTGCAACGGCATGCCACTAAGTGACTCCCAGAACTGAAGAACAAGAGCTATGAGGAGAGGTTAGAGGCATTAAATATGCAAAAACTAGAAGATAGAAGAAAAAGAGGCGATATGATCACTACGTTCAAAATAGTAACAGAAATCGATAAAATTAATAGGGAAGAATTCCTGTTACCCAGAACTTCAAGAACAAGAGGTCATAGATTTAAACTAACGAAACAAAGCTGCCGGAGAAATATACGAAAATTCACCTTTGTAAACAGAGTGGCAGACGGTTGGAACAAGTTAAGTGAGAAGGTGGTGGAGGCCAAAACCGTCAGTAATTTCAAAGCATTATATGACAAAGTGCTGGGCGGTGCCTCGCCTGACGTGGCCTCACCTCGCCTGACCTGACCTGGCCTTGCCTGACCTAGCCTGACCTGACCTAGCCTGACCTGACCTGGCCTGACCTGGCCTTGCCTGACCTAGCCTGACCTGACCTAGCCTGGCCTGACCTAGCCTGGCCTGACCTAGCCTGGCCTGACCTGGCCTTGCCTGACCTAGCCTGACCTGACCTAGCCTGGCCTGACCTAGCCTGGCCTGACCTAGCCTGGCCTGACCTAGCCTGGCCTAGCCTGGCCTGACCTAGCCTGACCTGACCTAGCCTAGCCTGGCCTGGCCTGGCCTGACCTGACCTGACCTAGCCTCGCCTGACCTAACCTCGCCTGAAGTAACCTCACAGTAGACCTAATCAATTTAAATGTCTTTTGCTGGAAAGTAGAATAAAGCGTTAGATAACAATCCACGGGACATTTCATGAACAAAACATACTGCCACATAGTTGTTGATCCTCGGGGCCGCTAATTAAGAGGCGTGTACAGGTGTAGGGGTGTAGACAGGTGAGTGTACTAGGCGGTGTATATTACTTACAGTGTAGACATATTGAGGTACTAGCGAGGGAAGGGAGCCCCACACACCACTACAGTGCTCCTGCCTCCTGGCCTGGCATAGTGGTGCAGCGTGCACAAGATGTGAGGTAAGACGGTAGGAATAGTGGCAGATGTTGAGGTGAGAGAGGCTGAGGAGGAGCCCAGTGTTGTGACACTAGCCAGCTGGCCGCGCCCCCTCCCCCGCGGTGCCCGGGACTACGCACTCCTACACACACCACCCAAAAAGTGGCCAAACTTCCTGAGGTTTGACGTCACCGCCCTTCAAACAAATCTATTCAATCTTACTGAAAATCTTGTAGATCTGAGGCAAAGTGAAATTGACACCAGTAATTCCATCTATCATCATACTATCATGCAAGAGGAGCCACACATCTATGGATCATCCAATAAAATCAGCAGACTTCTAGATGTTACTGCTGCTCGGCTTAGACTCGGTTACAAGTATCTCTGGGAATTCTCATTATCTGCAGATGTAGACTTGACCAAATGTAAACTGTATCAACAAAATTATTCGCACACCCTCCGTCACTATGTGATGGAGTGCGAAAAGATACGTGAATTTAGAGACAATTTTATAACCAATGTTCCAGCGATGTGTCAATATTTCATTCAAAATTATCTGCTACCAGAAATTTTAGCCAAATATCCCCAGTTTGCTAAATGTAGGTAGTAACTAAGTGATTGTAACTTATTCACCGCTGCCCACTGGATGGGGGGGGCGGTGTGCAGGACAAACATATAAATTGTGACACTAGCTCTCCACATATGTCAGTTAATTTAGAACCTGTACTTGAGGTCGGTCTCGAACCCATTGTTGATGTGACGACTTATATTGAATTTTGTAACTAGCTCATCAAGATTGTAACTTGCTTAGCTAAATGAATTGTGGGGTTCAGTCCCTGAGCCCATTATGTGCCTCTGTAACCCTTTCCACTACCGCCCACAAGATGGGTATGGGATGCATAATAAATGAACTAAACTAAACTAACTCTTACTGAAACCTATTCTAACTGGGAGCAAATTTTGTTTCTGTGAATTATGTGGGAGAGCGGCATGTACGGATACAAGCCACATCATACACGAGACCATTACCCATCGGATTTTTTAAACCTGCCTAACTTAACCTAACTAAGCTTCACCTAACCTTACCCAACCCAACTCAACCTAATACAACCGAGTGAAATACAGCCTAACATATGTTAATATATCCTAACATATCAATATACATGATTTTAACAAAGGCAATCCACTTCAATCATGCTTTTAATCTCAAATAGTGATTAGTTTTTAGCGTTTTTAATCTTAGTTTTTAAGTGTTTTTCCACATCTTGCGCGAAACGTTGTGCGACTTTAGAAATAGTATATATGACTTTTGACTTTAGAAATAGTATATACTAGCTCTATCTAGAAATCTAACATTTTGCTCGTAACTCAATAGTTATGTATGTACTTTTTATCTAAACAAACAAAATATTTGATTTGGTTTAAGAAAACGCGCTTCATGGAACGTATCTTGTCCGAAACGACCAAACCCGGTGTGTACGAGCGATGTGTGACGTCAATGTGACGTTTTCAGTTTTCCTTCTGGTATCTTTTTGGACCCGCGATGTTGTCTGTTCCTTCAGCACTTGCCCTTCTCTCACACCTCTCACGCATATTTCACCTCATTACTTATCTTATATTACAAGATCTATAAAGTTATCGTCTATATATTATTTTACAGTGTAAAATGAGTGTGTGAAGCATTTTATTTACTGCGCTAGTTTAAAGCAACGGGTTTTATCCTGATTTTCCACCCCGTGGTGCTTCTTGACGGACCAGTGGACGTAAACACCCACAAGACGTCACAATAACAAACAAAATAGAAAAGATGTGCGTTTGTCAGCTCATCATGATTAAAACTTGCTTAACTAAATGAATTGTGAGGTTCAGTCCCTGAGCCCATTATGTGCCTCTGTAACCCTTTCCACTACCGCCCACAGGAAAGGTATGGGGTGCATAATAAATGAACTAAACTAACTCAACTAAATCCTGGCATATGAGAGTGATGTGTGTGTTTGTGTATGAGAGTCATGCGGGTTCACGTGATGGAACACTGGCTCTATATTAGTATGCCAACTGACCCACACTCGTAGTACTAAGAGTGATTGTAACCTATCCACCGCTGCCCACTGGATGGGGGGCGGTGTGCAGGACAAACATATCAATTTATTTATTTATTTATTTATTTTTTTATTTATTTATATATACAAGAAGGTACATTAATTGGGATTGTGAGGCTACATAATATAGTAATTACATTCTTGTAAAGCCACAAGTACGCGCAGCGTTTCGGGCAGGTCCTTAATCTAAAAAAAATTTAAGTAGGTAAATACTTGCAAAATTTATAAAAAATGATAACAGTTACATAGCAAGAAAAAAAATAAAGGATGAGAGAAAATTGAAGGTATATTAAAGCACATAGGTAGCTGGATTGATTGCAATGACAGTTTGAATGGTAGTTGACAAAAATTGGTAGGCACAATACAGCATATGGCTAGCATATAAAAGAAGACACCAATGAACACAATGATAAGGTTGTTTGGGTTAAGTACATAAAAATTGGGAGATTGGGTAACACTAGATACAGATCAAATTTAAAGCTCAGTGTAGGAAACTACGAAGATGAAATTAGGTACTTTTTGGTTTTGCTTTAAAATGAGGCAAAAGTTTGACAGATCTCCAGATCTTTAGCCCCTGCTACTGCATTGCTCTTCAACAAGACATTTGAACTCCAAACCTTTCCAGATATTCTAAAAAAAAAAGCGAGAGTAACCCCTGTCCACAAATGTGCTAATCTCACAGATGTTAACAACTACAGACCTATATCAATCTTGCCTAACTTGTCAAAAATATTTGAAAAACTAATCTACAAGCAGCTTTACTCTTATCTAGCCAAACACAATATACTTAGCTCTTGTCAATATGGCTTCAGACCCATAAAAAGCACTAACGATGCACTTATTAGTATGATTAACTTGATTCATGCAGCTCTTGATAAAAATGTCCTGTTGGGTTATTTGTATTTATTTCAATAACCTGTTGGGTTATTTGTGGACCTGCGTAAGGCTTTTGACACTGTCAACCACCAAAACCTTCTTAAATTACATCATTATGGAGTCAGAGGACACTCTCTACAATACCTCAAGTTTTACCTTACTGACAGGCTCCAGTACGTTTCTGTGAATAATTCAATTTCTCCCATCCTACCCATCAACATCAGTGTTCCTCAGGGCAGCATATTTGGCCCTCTCCTCTTTCTCATCTACATTAATGACCTTCCAAATGCCTCCCAACACCTCAGACCAATTCTATTTGCTGACGACACAACCTTCATTTACTCCAGTCCCCTTTGCTCTAAATGCCACAGTAAATACTGAGCTAATTGTTAAACACTGAGTTTCATTGCCCGAAACGCATTGCGTAATAGTGGCTTTAGGCATTGTATGTACTAGCTCTATCTATATATCAATCCATTAATGTAACATCACTTGTATGTATATACCTTACCTGAATAAACATCTGAATCTAAACATCATCTAAATAAAGTCCATCTTTGGCTAACCGCCAACAAACTCACCCTTAACATTGACAAAACTTTATATATTCTGTTTAGCAATAAATCTCAGAATAAACAATACCCAAATTTGTAACAAAATAGATGGCAAATTCCTTGGCGTTCTTATTGACCACAAGCTGAATTTTCAGGGACACATTCTAAATATATCAAAAAGTTTCAAAAACTGTTGGTATTCTTTCTAAGATCAGATATTATGCACCCCGCCCTGCCCTGGTGACACTCTATTACTCCCTCACCCATCCATATCTCAACTATGGTATTTGTGCTTGGGGTTCTACTACCCAAAATCCTTTACGTCCTCTAATTACTCAACACAAAGCTGCTATTAGGACAATATCCAACTCTAACCCCAGACATCACTCGGTACCCCTACTCAAATCTCTCAATATATTAGACATTAAGTCACTGCACATTCTCTCATGTGTATTATACATATATAAAACGCTGAACTGTAATGCCAATCCTGACCTCAAAAGCTTCATTGAAGGTTGTAACAGAACCCATGAGCACCACACCAGAAACAAATACAGTTTTGATATTCCAAGAGTACGACTTAAACTAGAAATGCTCTACAAATCAAGGGACCCAGAATGTGGAATGACCTTCCCCATCATGTTAAAGACTGTACCTCTCTCAACCAATTTAAGATAAAAACGAAGCACTACCTAACAAATTCCCTGTAACCTGCCTTACCCCTGTATTGTCAACTCATGTCTGTTTTTTTTAAACACCGCTGTTTGTCGACCTAATTATATTTGCGCGGCTTTTTCAGCCATGTTCCCCCATTTCTTATTTTTATTTTTATTTGTTCTCGACACATTTTATACTTTAAACTCAATTAGTATTAAGTTTTAGTCTTTTTAATGTTTTTCCTGCCCGAAACGCTTTGCATAATAGTGGCTTTAGGCATTGTATGTACCAGTTCTATCTATAAACCTAGCAATTTTTGTACAAATATCTTGTATGTATGTACCTTACCTGAATAAACATTTATTTATTTATTTATTTACTTGACAGCTTTTCAATTCACTAGGGAGTGAGTTCCATAGACTAGGTCCCTTAACTTGCATAGTGTTTACACAGATTAAGTTTGACCCTGGGGATATCAAAGAGATATTTATTTCTGGTGTGGTGACAATGGGTACTATTACATCTGTCCAGGGAGAGTTTCCGAGCATGGTTTGCATTTAAAAACAGGGTTTTGTAAATGTAGTTGACACAAGAGAATGTGTGGAGGGAGTTAATATTTAGCAAGTTTAGGGATTTAAACAAGGGAGCTGAGTGTTGTCTGAAAGCAGAGTTTGTTATTATTCTGATAGCAGATTTTTGCTGGGTGATGATGGGCTTAAGGTGGTTTGCAGTGGTAGACCCCATGCACAGATACCATAATTAAGATAGGGATAGATTAGTGCATACTATAGTGAGAGGAGAGCAGAGTTAGGAACATAATATTTTATTTTAGAGAGTATACCAACTGTTTTGGAGACTTTCTTAGTTATGTGTTGAATGTGGGTGCTGAAGTTGAGTCTCTTGTCTTGGAATAGGCCAAGAAACTTGCCATCATTTTTATTACTGATGTTAATGTTGTCTATCTGTAGCTGAATTGCATTTGATGATTTGCTTCCAAATAAGATGTAGTAGGTCTTTTCTATGTTTAATGTTTGTTAGTTGACATCCATAAGTGGACTTTTTTTAATTCATTATTCACAACATTATTTAGTGTATGTGGGTTGGGGTCTGAATAGATAAGGGTAGTATCGTCAGCAAACAAATGGCCACTGCTTATTTTAAAATAAGCGGGAGAATTCTGGGAAGGAGGAAAAACATTTACGCAGCGCTCAGTGAGTGCTGCGCGTGCCGTGGGGCGGGCGCACATTTAAGCAAACGCTCGATCTATGATCGAGCCACAGAGATATTACAGGAAAGAGATGGTTGGGTTGACTGCATCTATCTGGACCTAAAAAAGGCTTTCGACAGAGTTCCACATAAGAGGTTGTTCTGGAAACTGGAAAATATCGGAGGGGTGACAGGTAAGCTTCTATCATGGATGAAAAATTTTCTGACTGATAGAAAAATGAGGGCAGTAATCAGAGGCAATGTATCGGAATGGAGAAATGTCACAAGTGGAGTACCACAGGGTTCAGTTCTTGCACCAGTGATGTTTATTGTCTACATAAATGATCTACCAGTTGGTATATAGAATTATATGAACATGTTTGCTGATGATGCTAAGATAATAGGAAGGATAAGAAATTTAGATGATTGTCATGCCCTTCAAGAAGACCTGGACAAAATAAGTAGATGGAGCAAGACTTGGCAAATGGAATTTAATGTTAATAAATGTCATGTTATGGAATGTGGAATAGGAGAACATAGACCCCACACAACCTATATATTATGTGAGAAATCTTTAAAGAATTCTGATAGAGATCTAGGGGTGGTTCTAGATAGAAAACTATCACCCGAGGACCACATAAAGAATATTGTGCAAGGAGCCTATGCTATGCTTTCTAACTTCAGAATTGCATTTAAATACATGGATGGCGATATACTAAAGAAATTGTTCATGACTTGTTAGGCCAAAGCTAGAATATGCAGCTGTTGTGTGGTGCCCATATCTTAAGAAGCTCATCAACAAACTGGAAAAGGTGCAAAGACATGCTACTAAGTGGCTCCCAGAACTGAAGGGTAAGAGCTACGAGGAGAGGTTAGAAGCATTAAACATGCCAAAACTAGAAGACAGAAGAAAAAGGGGTGATATGATCACTACATACAAAATAGTAACAGGAATTGATAAAATCGACAGGGAAGATTTCCTGAAACCTGGCACTTCAAGAACAAGAGGGCATAGATTTAAACTAGCTAAACACAGATGCCGAAGAAATATAAGAAAATTCACCTTTGCAAATAGAGTGGTAGACGGTTGGAACAAGTTAAGTGAGAAGGTGGTGGAGGCCAAGACCGTCAGTAGTTTCAAAGCGTTATATGACAAAGAGTGCTGGGAAGACGGGACACCACGAGCGTAGCTCTCATCCTGTAGCTACACTTGGGTAATTACACTTAGGTAATTACCAGGATTTTCTACCTCAGTCCTACACAGCTCCGGTCCATTCCGCTTAGAAATTTGGGGGGTGCTGTGCCAGATCCCCGAAGTCTAGGGCTGCCCGCAGCTACTTACCATATGTCAAGTGCTCACTTGTAGTGCAAGTTGGGGGTTGCAGACTTTACATGTAAACTAGGCACTAGCATATCATTACCTCTGGAAATTCTTATCTATTCTTTTCTATGCCCTCTGTGTATACAGAATATATTTTATACATGCTGTACTGACTGTGCCACTCAATTAACTCTGGCAATGTTTTTTAATTATAGTATTAAGCTGATTGCGAGTACTGCAACATTGCTTCTGCTAGCTGGCACTAGGCACGGTTAATGTCCTACAACTTATTCCCTTAGTTGCATCTTTGCAGTACTGGCATTCTACTCAATCATGTTACACGACATCTTTTATATTGTGGTACAGCAGTTGCTCTGTAAACATTATTTAATAAATTAAGGTCCCCCCACTCCTGGCTTGTTTTTTCTCCCCGATCAGAATATAGGTTTAAGAATATTAGAGACATTAGGCAGATCATTGATATATGTAAGAAATAGAAGAGGTCCTAAGATGCTGCCCTGTGGCACTCCAACGGTAATTGGTAGAGTGGAAGAAGTTGTGTCATTGATGGTTACACATTTGTGACTGTCACTAAGATAGGATCGGATGTAGTCAAGGCCAAGGCCTCAGATTCCATAATGCTGGAGTTTAAGTAAGAGGTAGTTGTGATTGACAGTATCAAAGGCTTTTCTTAGGTCAATGAAGAGTCCAATCGAAAACTTATTTTTGTCAAGGGCTGAGTAGATTACGTCAAGGAGACTAATGATTGCATCATTGGTGCTCTTTTGGGACCGGAAGCCAAATTGGCAGGGGCTGAGTATGTCGAATTTTACGAGCTAGGAAAAGAGCTGTTTGTAAATAATTTTTTCAAATATTTTTGATAGAATGCATGGGTAATGTAAAGCAAGGAGAGTGCGCCTATCCGCCCCCCAAGAAGTATGGGACAATACCCGAAGGAGGGTAAGGGCCTTAGAGCACTCAACACGGAGGTAAGAGATATGGGGAGACCAAGACAAACGAATGTCAAGGAATAACCCCAAAAGCTTTGCGGAATCTTTGTACTCAAGGGGATGACCATAAAGTGACAAAGAGGGACAAAGAACGACCCGTTTCCGAGTAAAAGTCATGGCACAAGTCTTAGAAGTAGAGAACTTGAAGCCATGATCTATGGCCCAAGACGACACGGCATCAATTGTAAGTTGAAGCCGGCGCTGAAGGAGATGCGAATCATCACCCTGACGGCAAAGGGTAAGATCATCGACATAGAGAGCAGAGAAGACACCTGAAGAGAGGAAAGAAGACCATTGAGGGCAACCAGAAAATGAGTAGTGCTCAGAACACTACCCTGGGGCACACCTTCGTATTGCTGAAAAGAGGCAGAGAGCGGTACCAAGTTGCACCCGAAAGGAACGACGAGAGAGGAAACTCTGGGGGAAGAGAGGGAGAGAATAAGGAATAAAGTTAGGACAGAAAATGATACCGCCAGGTAGTGTCGTAAGCCTTTTCCAGGTCAAAAAGGACGGTAACAACGGAGGTCTTCGCAGCAAAAGCAGTACGAATATAGACCTCCAAGGCCCAGGGCAGACTGAAGCTCAGAGAGAGAGAGAAGGGATCGTTATAGGGAAGGCTGAGATGGGTACAGAAATCTAAAGGACGAGATTCAAGAATAGGCTTACGAAGGAAGGAAGGATTGAGGTAGATGAGAACCAGAGCTAACAGATGGAAAGTGGGAACCCAATTCGGTTGCGACCTGCAACGGGTCCGCCACAAGAGTACAAAGGAGGTGAAGGACCGGCAAGACATCGGCAGCTGCTTAATGCAAAATTATTAAGTTCTTACAGCACCCTGTTGTGTAATAATGATGAACACCTTAATCCACTCAACTTACAAATGAGTATAATCATTGCTATGCTTAACACTTGTGTACCCAGCAGGCACAGGGATAACAGGTCATATTCTATGGCAACCAACCAGCTCCATTACCTTCTCTGGACCCCAAATCTAAGACACAGATTTAGAGAATGAGATAGATATATATCTATTTTTTGCTTTATCCTATTCAGAGTTTTTCTTCATCAATGATTAGAAAAGTTCAACATAAAAGGATGATGTTCTGGAGAATTTAACATGTTTGTATAAAGGACAAGGAATATTTAGGTTAAAGCTGATTTTAGAATAGTCTACAAAGAATGAGACAAAGCTAAGTGTGTGTCCATGAATGTTATAATGTACTGTGTCTGAGGTGAGAGAACATCACCACAATGCTAGAGACTGTTTACTGCACTTCTACTTAGTTTGTATTCCAAGCTTTGTGCCTTTTTTGGGTAATTACATACTGCTTGCTGGTAGTTTGAATGATTACTGCCCTTCATGATCAAACAAATTTATTATCCATCTGCCAGCTTCACCTGTTATTACATAAGCCCTCATTTTAAATATCAACCTATGATCATATTTCTAAATCAGTAAGTCTACATAACAAATATATAACCTTGGATTTTGGAATAATTTCCAGATTTTTACCATAAAAGATCCAAGTGATAAAACTGGCAGCAAATACATAAAAGCAAATCATAATTGTGTTTGTGCAAACCTGGCTTTTCAATTTTGTCATGCTCCTTTTACAGTGTAGTAATTCATAAATTGGGAAGATTTCCACATGTATCTTAGTAATAACAGCTATAATTCCCAATGTGGCCATCAGGGAGACTACACCCCCAACACCCATCGTGCATACCATGTTTTAAGCAGCTTTGGTGGAGCTAATGTTTGGAAAGCGGCAGGTAAGGGAAGCAATGTAAACAAAGTGCTCCCAAGAAGGAAACCAAATAAAGTATAACAAAACTAAAGTTTCACAAAATGCTGACTTTATGATAATTTTCAGTTAAACTAATCGATGGTGAAAATAATTTCCACTGGTTAGCTGCAGATACACATATATTCCTGGTAGCATCTTGTGCCCCAAATTCTAAATACATAATGTATACTGTACCACAAATATCTTGAATATTGTGTCCTTTGAACCAAGCCATTTTCATCAATATACCTATAAAATTCAGTAAAGCTGTGGAATGTTCATTTCAACTATTTATTGTCCTTGCATTCCTGCATATTCAGAACACCTAAAATGGTCTAACACATTTGAAACATACAAAATTCTTAAAAATTTCTAGAGATATTAATATTTTATTTAACCAAGAAGCTCAAGAGCTTTGCACCTTCATTATTGTGTGTGCTTGGATATGGTGGAGCAAGCAGCAGCAGTCGGTATGAGTTACAGTACAGTACTTCTATGTATAGATTGGGAATCCTACCTGAACCTTGCATAGAGGTTTGTCTTTCTCGTGAATAAAGGTACCTGAGCATTTGTAACATTTGCGGCACCTTCCTGAATCATCTTGAAAAATAAATGATTTAGAATATCTTTAAAGTTGAGCATCTTCACAAGGTGCTTAAGGTGATGTGAGTACACAGTATTCCAGTTAAGAACCAAGTGCTGTCACCAGCAGATTGGGCCAAGGATTTACACGACTTGCAAAACACCAGAAACTATTCTTCTGCAGATAATAAAGACACTATTCATTGTACTCTTAATAAACTTGCCAATGGAATTGCATTACCAATAAAAACTCATTCTACTCAATTGTATTTGCACCTCTAAAATCATTCCTTGTATTCAAATATACTGATAAATTAAAATCTCGCTTTATATTACAGTTCAATGAAGTCTTCTTGTCAATTTTTGTAAGTAATAAAGTATATCATTCCTTAAAATTTTTATTTATGTTGCCAACTTTTTTTTTTAACATGTAGAAATTTATATTACCCCTAAAAAGTAAAATTAAATTTAGCCACACACACATTAAGTATACAGGTCAAAATCAATCCGTCTCGTCGAGTACCAAGACTGTCCCTGTTCGCAGGTCTTTCTTACATACGCTCCATTCTTGAAATAACCAGATTCTTGCCACTGCAACATCTTCTCGTTGCTAAAAGGCCCATGTATCTCTGCGTCATCTTTGTCTTCCCACCGAAGCTCCCAAGTGATTTTTGCTAAGAAAAACAAATAAAAACACCAATGCACTGTTTTGTACAAAATGTACATTAATGTACAAAACATGTTTACACAAATATGACATTTAAAGAAATATGGGTGTCTAATGTATATATAATTTTACATGCTAATTACCTCATTTCATGAGATGAGAAGGAATCAAGTCAGAAAAAAGGTGAATCATTCACTATTATATATTACAGATACTGTATTAACAAATATAAATTTCACTTGTTCATTCACTATACAGTATAGCATCACACAACTTATTCAAACACAGTGGATTTGTTTTTAAATTTGATCAACATAAAACTTGACACAACCTACCAACTGAATCATGCACTTGCTGCCCTTGCAACGATCCCTCGAGTTTATCTTCACATTTCACATCCTTATTCTTATGTTCTTCATCTGCAAACATATCCATTGCAGGCTTGGGAGCAGGAGCTTTAGATCTCTCCACCTACACAAATACAAAGTCACCACATTATGTCATCAAAGAAAATGCCACCAACATATATATTACGAACATGGCACATTTTCTTGTGACAGACATTACAACAGAAAAAAATTATAGAGCTATAAGCACTAATTTTATAAAGTTAAAAATATAAAGCTATTATAAAAAATATCTTATCAAAAAGTTATCTACATAAGAGGGAGACTAAAATCCACCGAGAATTTAAGTCACCTTGAATACTAACACAGCGAGAGGGCTGTAGAACTAACATCTCAAACATGTATGAAAGGGCCGCTTGCACAGAGATGCTAAACATACTAAATAAGTTTAATAAACCATGTCCAAACTACATCATCAATTTCCCATTTATATGAGGTGGAAAAGCTTTAATTGAGAAAAAAAAATTATTCATCTGCTCATTATACAATGCAATCGCATTACAACACTGTATATATGGGTAAACAAGCACCAACAACAATCCCTCCCTTGAGAAAGAGGGATAATGTCCTGTTGTAAATTAATTATGCAGCAGGGAGTGTGTTACAATGTGAGGTGACAAGGAGGTTTCTAACATGAATGAAAAAGTTCTAACCGACAGAAAAATGAGGGCAGTAATCAGAGGCAATGTATTGGACTGGAGAAAAGTCTTGAGTGGAGTACCACAGGGTTTAGTTCTTGCACCGGTAATGTTCATTGTCTATATAAATGCTCTACCTGATGGAATACAGAATTATATGAACATATTTGCTAATAATGCTAAAGTAATAGGGAAGATATGAAACTTAAATGTTTGTCATGCCCTTCAAGAAGACTTGGACAAAATAAGTATATGGAGCACCACTTAAACATGGCAAATACTTGGCAAATGGAATTTAATGTGAATAAATGCCATGTTATGGAATGTGGAATTGGAGAACATAGACACCACACAACCTATAAATGATGTGAGAAATCTTTAAAGACTTCTGACAAAGAAAGAGATCTAGGGGTGGTTCTAGATAGAAAACTATCACCTGAGGACCATATTAACCCTTAACACTTTCGCTCACCCCGCGCGCCACCCCTCGACAGGGCGATATGGGCCCCAGAGTGTCACGGAAGCGTGCGTTAATTCCGAAAAGTGTATACTCTCTTCAACTTTGTCACCTCAATTCTCCTTCTACGAGATTAAATTTGGTATCATTGTGTTCGCAATAAAATTCTCTACAGCACTAAATGCATATAAACTCCAAAAGCCCGGCTAATTACCCGCAGCAAACAGAGAAAGTGCGAACGAGTTAACCGGGAGCGCGCAAACGGGATAAAATGTTTTCACTATTTTCACTCTGGTCACCTCAATTTTTGTCCTAGGTCTTTCATTTTGGTCTCAATGGGTTCGTAATAAAATTCTCTAGAGGAACATTAGCCTATAAAAAAAAAAACCTGGTCACGCTCCAACCGCCGACGAGTTGAAGACGGGCCACGTGTTAGCCGTGAGTGAGTGCTCAGAGGCCTTCCTGCTACACTCCAATTCCTACCCTTTTCAAGCCTTTCTTTCGCAATTTTCTTCCTGGAAGGGCCTTGATCATGATTACTATCCATCGTGGAGTAAGCGTAGATAGTTTCTAAAGCCGCAGTAAGAAATATAGCCACGGAAAATAGCCGAAATGTTCACACGTTTGAGATGCGAGGGGAAGCGACATTGGTCACAACAGTGGAGCAAAGACAATGGGCCCACGGCGTGTGCCAAGCAGCCTGAGGGCGACGAGGCTCAACAAAGAAAATGGGAAGACATCGGCGCACATTTTAAAACAGTCCCCAAAAAATCGGATAAAAACCTGATTTTTGGCGAATTTTTAAAGTGGATGACGCAATGCTGCGTCATCCCCGGCATTACCGCCAGTAAACGGATGACGCAATGCTGCGTCATCCCCGAGCGAAAGTGTTAAGCTGCTAAGGGGTCCTGAGGAGATTTACACCCCTGTATGCAAAAAAAAAAAAAATTCTAAATTAAAAAATTATTTTGTCTTCTAAAAATGTTATTTGCGTTCCCTGAGCACGGGAAAAATAAAAAAACCAGCGTTGAATGTAATGAAACGCCAATTTCTGGGCGAGTCTCGGAGGCTGCCCGGAGCTTACCAGGCTGATATGCTAATGTCAGACTTTGGCATCAGTCATGTGTACAGAGTTCTTATGGGCCTACCGGGGACCACGAGCCAGAATCTGGCTCCCTCAGAGAGGCAAGGGGAGCAATTGCCTATAGAAACCCCCGTGTGATTGGAAGCATTCTATGTCTGCCATCGACCGGGTTAAGCCCCCAGAAAGGTAGGGGTCCCAAAACAAACCCCTATTCTGGTGAAAATTGAAACCAAAAGCCGAACGAGTGGATAGAACTCCCCAAACAAAAACGAGCAAACTAGTATGACGTCACCCATCATCGTGCTGCTGTCCGCGCAGCTCCCCCGCTCCCCGGGAGGGGGAAGGGATAGCCCCAGACCCACCATGCCGGCAATCCACACCCCAGTTCTGAGGCTGGATGTCAAAAGTCGTGAAAAATCGCCGACTGGAGGAGGGGAGGGATGCCGGGGATCCTCCGGGACTCACCCAAAAAATGGCGTTTCATTACATTCAACGCTGGTTTTCTGGGGGGAGCCCCTACAGCTCCCCGGAGCTAACTACCCACAGAGGAAAATAATAGGGACTGACCCGGGAGGCGGTCGCCGCACAGTACTCAACCCGAAGTCGAGACAACAGGCCGCATCCGCCGACCCAAAGCGACACAGGCCCGACTGGGCCCAGGAACATGTACAAGGTAACGAACAGCCAAGGACCCTGTTCAACCACCAAATTCCCCGTGCCCGAACGTCTTCCCAGGACACAGTACCAAAGACGGCGGCAAGAGCCGCGAACTTGTGGACGTAATGGGCACGGAGATAGACCACAGGCTGGAGAGCCTTAATTGGACAAAAACAAAATGCACCTCCGGCCCAACCAACCAAGCATCAACAAACCAAGGACCCCTCCAGAAAGCAGCAGTCTCATTCTTCGCCAGAAAAGAAGGAGAAGGCAGCAGACAACCAAACCGATCACCCCGACCAAAGGAGCAGAAAACCCCTGCGCAGGAGGAGAGCATGAAGCTCACCTACCAGACCCCCAGAGGCCAATGCAACTGGAAAATAGCCATCAAAAAACAAACCGGAACCGAAGGGGCCACAAAAAATCGAGAAGAAAGAAAAGAGCACTCTGTCCAATAACCAGGACGGTTCAAGCGGCGCAAGAACAGACCAGAGGTGAAACAAGCATGAGACAGCTTACGAACGGCGCAGATGAAAGTACGAAAGCAAGCTGAAGCAACTCCGCCAGCACTGCAAAAAACGAGTCGACAATATGCGGCAAGTAGACGGCCCCCAACCCCCCTGCAGAAAAGTCAAGCCGACGCCAACAAATGCAGCCACCGAAGAAGAGACAGAAGGAAAAGGAAGGACCGCCAAAACACCCCATACTGCCGCCAAGAAGCACACAGGTGGGACACCAACAACGAAGCCACCTGACCACCAACGGATGCGAGATACCCAAGGCAGAACGTAATCGGCCCCGCCAAGGGTCATCCGAGCCTAGGAAGAGGCGGAGTCGCAGGAAGATCTCGGGTGCGACCTCCAAGGAAGCAGAGCCGGAAGCCCAAGCCGGCAAGAAGCAGATGGAACGTCCACCAAACAGCAAACTCCCCAACACGAGCAAGCTCGCCAGGAGATCAGAAACCATGGGTCCGACGTGAGACACCAGAGAAGGGACATCGCAAGACCCTGAAAAAACCAACAGGCAGGCCAAGCCAGGAAAACATGAAAGCAAACCTGGCAACAAGAAGGCCAAAAGGCACAAACAAAACACACAACAGTGTGAAGAAGGAAATGATAAAAAGACTAGCAGAAACGCTCCAGCACCAGCGGCCAGGGACAAGAGTGAAGCAGGAAGACGAGAAGAATGCATGAGAAGAATGCAGTTTGTCCAATTATACTCACTAAAAAAATTTCTAAGGTTGCCATAATGTCCTCTACTGAAGTCAGGTTTTTCAACTACTTCAACCTCCTTATTTTCTTCCAGATTATAACGCATTGCATACTTTATTCCCAAAAAGACATGGTCACTTTTACCCAAGGGAGGAAGGTACTGAATGTCAAATATCTCTTCCTCCTTCCTGGTAAATATCAAATCTAGCATGGAGGAAACGTCCCCTTCCCTCATCCTCGTAGCTTGTTTAACATGTTGATACAAGAATGTTTCCAGGATGAGGTCTACAAACCTACAGGTCCAAAAATCTTCTGATTTAGCTTCATATGCTTCCCAGTCTATGGATTTCAAGTTGAAGTCACCGACTATCAACAGTCGTGATCTATCGTTATCCGCTCTCGCTATAATCTCTCTCATTATTGTTATAAGACCTTCTCGTTTACTATCTACCTCCTCCTTTGACCATGTGCTGCTTGGCGGTGGACTATATGCATTTATGATCATTAGTTTATCATCCTCATGGCAGATCTCTAGTGCTATTATATCAACTTCTTGTGGATTGGCCGTCATTATTTCCTTCACCTTTAGGCGTTCTTTCATCAGCACAGCAACGCCACCGCCTTTCCTAATTTTTCTGTCCCGTCTCCAAATTGAGTAGCCCCTTGGGAATATGACCTCATTTAAAATAACATCCTCAAGTTTTGTCTCTATGAGTGCAACAATGTCTGGTGTCTGCAGCTGTATTACATCACTTAACTCCAGTATCTTTAATCTCACTCCATCTATGTTGGTGTATGCAATCTTCAGAAACTTGTTTCCCCTCTCCTTATTCTTCACTCCCCCTCTCTATATGATTTTCTTGGTTTGCCTTTATGTACCATTTTACTGGTCTGCCTACCCCTATCACTTAGCAGAAAAAAAGAATTGATTTCTTCTTCATTCTGCTCTCATTTAAACGTTTTGCCTCGGCGAGGTTCAGTTTCAGCTTCTCTCTGTCTTCTTTTGAAAGATCTCGTCTTAATGACCACACTTTCCCATCTTCATCACTTTGTAATTTTCTAGCATTCCTTAGTACTTCTTCCATCTGTTTGGCACCGTTTAGGGTGATCATCAAAGGTCGATCTTTCCCTTTTACATATCTGCCTATTCTCCTGTAGTCGCACACATTCTCTATGGTTGTAAGACCTTCTATGAGGCCAACAATTTTATCTACTACTTTTGCTTCTTCTACAGCTCTTTCTGACCTAGATGTTATCTCCTTCTCTTTGCAACCAAAGATTATCAGGGACTTACTCCGATCAACTGTGTTTTGCACGAACTTCGGGTTAGATGCCAATTCCTTTCTTACTTCCAGCCTAATGTTTGTTTTATCTTGGTTGCTGCAGTGTTTGGTTTCTTTTACTGCTTCTTCAATTTTTTCTTCTCCTTGGCCACTTGTGCATAGGTGAGTTGCATATCTTTCTTGCACTGTTCTATTCCCTGTGAAACTTCCTCCATCTGTGCTGACAAAAGCTGTTTTTCCTGTTGAATTTCCTTACCTAACCTATTGTAGTCATTTATGTCTATGTTTGCTTCAACTTCTTCCAAAGCTATTTTTAAGAGTTTATTTTCCTTTTCCATGGCTTTGCAATTTGCTTCCAATTGATTCTTATCCTTGCACAAGTCTTTCACTAAACCTCAAGACATAAAACTTGGCTATTCAAATGGTTATTACTTTCTTTCAATTTACTAATTATTTCTACATGAGAGTTCACTATAGTATCTAATTTTACCAACTTGTTATATAGACTACTAATATCAATGCTTTCTTCATTGAATCCCACAAAATCAAGCTCTGTTTTGTTTTTCCTCTTGCCGGCAGCCATCTTGAATGTTCTTCTCTGCACTGGAAACACTAGGGCAACTTTTTCTCACCCACGTTTTCACTTCCCTTGGCACATTCCTGTTATCTCACCTATTTTTCAAAAGCACTATACCTTTACGTACTCTGGGACACCACTCACTATCATCATCCTGTACTACAATACTTAGGATTGTTGAAATATGCTGGAGCTCCTCTGATGCAAGTGTTGATGCAAGGGTGACAGCCTCACAGTGAGACAGTAGGGTGACAGCCTCACAGTGAGACAGTAGGGTGACAGAGCCTCACAGTGAGGCAGTAAGGTGACAGCCTCACAGTGAGGCAGTAGGGTGACAGAGCCTCACAGTGAGGCAGTAGGGTGACAGAGCCTCACGGTGAGGCAGTAGGGTGAGAGCCTAGCACATTCTGTAGTCTGGATGGATGATATATTGATACATGACACAGTGAAACCAAGAGGGTTAGTTCATAATATGAGGAAGATAAAAATACAAAAGCAATGGTACAGTACATGAACAAATGTTGTCCATGAAAGTCAATGTGAAATGAAGACTTACCAATGAGAACATATGCAAGATACATCATGGCAGTTTTCCACAAAACTACAACTGCAGATGCATGTTGAATAATAAGTTGATTGATAATTGTACCTACCTTAAGAGTTATCATTTCAAAGGTTTCCTGGTAGACGTCCATGTTGCCAGTTGTAACAATTTTATTAGCTAACTCGGTGAGTTTGAGGATGTCCGACATATTATTGTCTCCATTCTCACTCCCTAAATTGCCGGTTTTTTTCAACTTCCATCTCTGTGATGAGGAAATTTTCTTGTTTCCACCAAGCCTCTGAAAATTTCAATTTAACTGTTACGACCCTGGGTTCTCCAGTGGAAACCAGAGGTCAAAATTGAGCTATTAAACTTCCTGGTAGCACAGTTGGGCATCTAGAATGTCAATTGTTTGTATCTTCCCTGCCAGACGTAAGACTATTATTGTTTCTCAAAGAGCATTTAAAGACTGAGCTGGGGGTTGATTATTAAATAATAACATAGGCACCAACTTTGCTTACTAATACTTTCTAATCATTCATAAAGTAACAATACGTTGCATAGGGGAAGATCTTTAATGTGCTTAGCTGCACGATCAATTAGGCTCCTCCCGGCACCACAACATGAGGGAGGCAGCTGGTGGCTAGCTCGGTCTTCTCTGTGGCTGGTGTGTGAGGATAAGACCTACTCTGTGGCTGTATCCCTACTCTTCTCCCTTCTCCTCTTACTTATTTCCCTTACCTGAAGTTCCTGTATCCTTAAGCTAAGTACAGGGCATTAGTGAGTGTGCCTACTCTGGTAGTAACGATTGGTGAGACCTGGGGATAGTATTTTGCCAGTGTTTGGGTACCCCTAAGTGTTGTGTTTTGTATTAGGGTCCCACGTGGTTTCACTACCCTAAGCTGCATCCAGCTTCAGTGCTTATCCAGTAGTACTTTACCCTAGCTTGTTATTAGTGTAAACCTTGTATCCTGCCTACGTGGACCAAGGCTTTTAACGTAAGATAGTGTGGTAAAGTTATTATTATTATTGTTATTGGTGTGAGTGTATATGGGGGGTTGTTAAGGGGTTAATAAATAAGTACATGAATTACAGAGTATCTCTTCTTCCAAGGTGGGAGCGCAGTGATCAACCCTTAGACTAACATATATGGTCTTGTAGCAAGTTATTACTACTGTGGATAGTTTATTTTGGGGGCCGGGCCTTTTAGCTCTCCCATATTTGATACTCTTGTCTTCTAACTACCTTTACCCCTTAATAGTACCAGTACCCCATAGAAGCCCCACTCATATCAGTTGTAACAAGTGGTTGGCCAGTCCGGGAGGAACATTATAAGTGTAAAAAATTAGATTCTTGAGTGCCAAAATTAAAATTTTTTATTTCCGCAGAACGGTTGTGTGCTAGCCTAGGGTCCAGCTCATCTAGCAAAGGACATTCTTGCACTGACTGGACACCCAGCTGGATCCCTTCACGATTAAGGTTAGTGTGGCCTTGTGTTAGGGGCCGTGCAAATTTTTGTTTTTTTTTCCAATTTTTATTTTTTAATTTTTTCTTTGGCTGGGAGCTAAAATTATTAGTGATGTCTTCTGAAATGCAGAACCTGGCAAGGGAGCCTTCAGTGGTAGAGATAAAGAAACTTAAAAAGTCTAATTTAGTATTGTTAGGCCAGGAATTTGGCCTAGAATTAAATGTCGCAGATAAAAAGTGGACTTTGGTGAATGAAATATTACAACATTGTATTGATGAACAACTATTGGCAAGTGATACACCTTTATGCCAGCCTAGCCAAGCAGAAAGTGCAACTCATAGGGAAAGTGAATTAGCTTTAGAGTTAGCAAAAATAAAATTAGAGGAGCAAAAACTCAAAACCGAGGAGGCTAGAATTAGAGCGAATGCCACTGGACCTCCACCTGCCGGGGATTCAAACCCCAGGCATTATGAGAAAAAGCATAATTTGCCTGAATTTTCCGAGTCTGACCCTGAAAGGTTTTTCAACCATTTTCAGAGAGTGGCCACGTCCATGAACTGGCCAAAGGAAGAGTGGGTGAAAATCCTACAGGGAAGACTTAGGGGTAAAGCACAAGATATTTTTATAAACATGCCTGACGACGAGTGTTTCGAATATGATAAAGTCAGGGAATGTATTTTGCGGGCATATGAAATTACTCCTGAAGCTCACCGCCAAGTTTATCGTAACCTTAGGCCTACTCACAACCAACCGCTCACTGAATTTGTGAATGATCAAATTCGATTATTTGATAGATGGATTCGCTCGGCGAAAGCCGAAACATACGAGGCTCTCAGGAACTTAATTTTAATGGAGCATTTTATAAATATGATGCCAGAGAATGTTTCACAGTATATTAGAGGAAGGATAGAGTTAAATTCTAAAATAGGGGATTTGGCCAAGTTGGCAGAAAACTACCAATTGGCGGGCAAAAGGCCCAATAAAAATAATTATACCCCACAGAGTAGCAAACCTTATACCCACAGCCAGTCCAGACCAGCTCATTCTAACCCTTTACCTAATGCACCTTCTGTTTCAGACATAACTAACCCTGTTAAAGTGTCTAGCCCAACGGCACCTAAAGGTGAACCGAAGGGTAATTCTGTTAGTAATGTCTCTTCTCCCCGACGTTTTTGTGGTCACTGTAATCGTCCAAACCACACTATTAGCCGTTGTTGGCAACTGCACCCTGAAAAAAGACCCAATGCTCTAGTTGTGACACAGGGCTTGAGGCTTTCAGAAGGGTTAGGGAGTAAGACCTCCAACCCACAGTGGTTGGACTTGCTTACCCCATTCTTATCGAAAGGGAGACTACTTTTGTCTGAGGGTTCTTCCTGGAAGGACGTGGTGATCTTCCGAGACACCGGTGCCATCCAGACTTTAATTTTAGAGAGTGCGTTGCAAGGTGCCAACACTCTCGACACTGGAGAGGTGGTACTGGTCGAGGGTGTCACTAGTGATACTCGGGCAGTACCCCTCCATAAGGTTACCCTGGAATCTGATTTCCACAAGGGTGTTTGTACAGTCGGAGTCACTTCATACCTACCTTTCCCTAATGTTGATGTAATAGTTGGTAATGATTTAGCAGGGGATAAGGTAGGGGACTCCAGACTGCCTATTATGTTGCCTACCCCTAAGGTTTGCCTGGATCCACCCGCCGCAGAGGATAATGTTGTGTACCCTGCGTGCGCGGTGACCAGGTCTATGGGACTTAAATGTAAGGGCAGCCCTGTGCTTGCCAAGGTGGTAAATCCCGAGGTCACGAGGAGCTTTCCGAGTGGTGAAAACCAAGTGGACCTCGCGGACACATTCATGGCCCGACTCGATGACGTGGCCGAGGACATTGTGGAGAGCCTGCCACCGCCATCTACCGAGAGTAGTGGGGAGGTGGAGAACACTGTTGAGCCTCGGCCAATGGCATCTGACCAAGGCCTAGATGCCTCCTTGAGTGAGTTACAGAAAGCTGACCCCACTCTTGCAGATTGTCATGAAACAGCCGTCTCTATGGAGGAAATTGTAGACGCAGCAACTGGGTACTACTACAATGATCGGATTTTGATGAGAAAATGGAGACCACAGAGTGCTCCCTTGTCAAATGAGTGGGAGGTAGTCCACCAGGTTATGTTGCCGACCTGCTATAGAGAAAGAGTTTTGGCAGCTGCTCATGATGATCCTATGGGGGGACATCAAGGTATTAATATTACGTATCACAAAATTTTAAAGTATTTTTTCTGGCCCAAGCTGAAAAGCGATGTGGCAAAATTTTGTAATGCGTGTATTGTTTGTCAACTGGTTGGGAAACCAAACCAGACTCCACCTAAAGCTCCTCTAAGGCCTATTGTCGTGCCAGAGGAACCATTTTCTCATGTGGTAATGGACTGTGTTGGACCATTACCTAGAACTAAGTCTGGTAATATTTACCTAATCACGATGATGTGTATCACTACTCGTTACCCAGAGGCTTTTGCTGTAAGGAACATCCGAGCAAAAACTGTTGTTGCTCGTATGTTGCAATTTTTTTCCACTTTTGGACTGCCTCGGGTCGTGCAAACTGACAATGGTACTAATTTTAAGTCTGATGTTTTCGAGCAATTTTGTAAGGAACATGGAATAACTCATAAGGTTTCCAGCCCATACCATCCACAGAGTCAGGGGGTAATTGAACGTTTCCATCTAACTCTGAAGCAGATGTTGAAGACATCGTGCGAGAGTTCCCACACCTTCTGGGATGAGAATTTACCGTATGTTTTGTTTGCGGCTAGAGAGGGATTACAAAGTTCACTGGGCTGTTCTCCTTTTGAGTTAGTCTTTGGCCATAAAGTTCGTGGACCCTTGCAAATGTTACAGGAGAATCTGTTAGGGAACGTAACGTTATCCGAAGGTTCGGCTTTCTTTGCGCAACACCACCAGAGACTCAAGGACTGCAAGGCGGCTGCATTAAAGTATCTTGGCAAGGCCCAAGAAAAGATGAAAGAACGTAACGATGCTAAATCTAAGTTACGGGTATTTCAGCCTGGCGACCCTGTCCTGGTATTAAAGCCTCGACTAGGGAACACTATGTCCCACAAGTACGAAGGCCCCTACATTGTGACAGAAAAGACTGGGGACCTCACGTACAAAGTGAGGCACTCTGACAAACGTAACCAGGTAATGCTCATACATGTAAATCGACTGAAGAAGTTCCAGGGCCCCAGGCCCATTGCACTAACCAATGTTTCCATTTCCAGTGAGAGAGGGGATGATTGTTCTGGGGACCCAACTAATCTCATTTTCAATAATTCTAGTTCTGTGAATGCTGTGGAGGAACTGTCCCATTTGCAGATGGCCCAACGTGAAGAGGTGCAGTCGTTGGTTGATGAATTCTCCAGTCTGTTCGGGGAGGTCCCGACCCAGACTGATGCCATTTGCCATGATGTCGAGTTGACGGACTACACTCCCATTCGCCTTCAACCCTATCGGATGAGTCCAGAAAAGAAGGCCATCGTACGGAAGGAGGTCGACTTCTTGCTCCAGCACGGCCTCATCCGGCCGAGCCAGGGCTCTTGGTGCTCGCCCTGCCTTTTGGTCCCCAAACCAGACGGCTCCTGGCGATTATGCACCGACTATCGGCAGCTCAACAAGGTGACCATTGTGGATGCCTATCCGCTGCCCCTCCTCGAGGACTGCATCGACGAGTTGGGAAATGCCAAGTACGTTTCGAAATTCGACCTCTCGAGGGGGTATTATCAAATCCCACTCACTGAACGTGCTAAACAGCTCACCGCGTTCGTGACACCCGAGGGTGTTTTTGA